ACCGTGGCACTGCCAGGGCAATGTCACTTACGACAAGGTTGAGTTTAGCTATCCCACGCGCAGAGAGATCCAGGTGCTCAAGGGTCTGGAACTGGGAGTCAAAAAGGGCCAGAAGGTGGCCCTGGTGGGTCCCTCCGGGTGCGGCAAGTCCACCTGCATCCAGCTGATCCAGCGCTTCTATGACGTGGACGAGGGTGCCGCCCTCATCGATGAGCACGATGTTCGAGACGTCTCGATGTCAAATCTGCGCCAGCAGCTCGGCATCGTGTCCCAGGAGCCGATCCTCTTCGACCGCACCATCCGGCAGAACATTGCCTATGGCGACAACACGAGGTCTGTCACCGACCAGGAGATCATGTCAGCCTGCATGAAGTCTAATATTCACGAGTTCATCGCGAACCTGCCGCTGGTAAGCATCCAGAATCCGCAATCCACATCCCCCCCCCCCCCCTCCCCCCCTGATGATTCAAGTAAAATACGTGATTTCCTCCTAGGGTTACGACACGAGAATGGGAGAGAAGGGAGCCCAGCTGTCCGGCGGTCAGAAGCAGCGCATTGCCATCGCGCGCGCCCTCATACGGAACCCCAAGATCATGCTGCTCGACGAAGCCACCTCGGCACTGGACGCCGAGAGTGAAAAGGTTGGTACATCCCTCATTCAGCTGAGCTCTCAACAATCATTATCTTTCGCTTTATTCTTTGGTAGGTTGTCCAAGATGCTCTGGATGCCGCATCCGAGGGTCGCACAACGATCAGCATAGCTCACAGACTGTCCACAGTCGTCCATTCGGATGTGATATTTGTGTTTGAGAACGGCGTAGTCTGCGAGACCGGCTCCCACAAGGATTTGCTGGAGAATCGCGGCCTCTACTACACGCTCTACAAGCTGCAGAGCGGGGCCATGTAGACACCGCCATGCCATTCGCCATAGCTTACGATACCATAGCATAGATCTAGATATAGCTTAAGGATCTGCACTGCGATCAAAGACCCCCTGTAGTATCATCCTGTACAAATAAGTTCATAGTCCTAATATTATTTATCTATTTTAAAGAGTCTCCTCCCAGGAATTTTTGAATGAATTTAATTCAAAACCCAATTAAAACATATATACTTGTATATTGTAAATATTTGTTTTGTATTTTAAGTTTACATCGATTGTTAAATTTAATTGCATTTTACCCAGTGTCGATTGGTTGTCCACTGGAAACCAACGACCAAATGTAGCTTGAAGTAGGCGTCCAACTGTCCGTGTCCGTAAAGCTTATTCAGTCGCGTGGCCGTTTTCCGGCCGTATTTGTGCTGTGCTCCTTATCGTACAACTAGAATTTAGTTAGAGTAAACGTAAAAATAAGCGAAATCTTACAGGGAACACAGCACCGCACTGGCCACGCACTGAAAGGACAGCGCAGCTCCAGATGGGTAGGGGAAATCCATCGATCGGTTCCATAATAAACAATAAAAACTTTATGTAATTGATCGCTGGCTCCCATTTGTGGATGGGATGGTGTTCGTTTTCTGGGTTCTGTCACTTCTTTCACATTTTTGGGTAAACGCTATGCCGGTTGTTCACGTGTGATTGTGGTTTATGATTTGGAAAAGGAATATGATGTAACTATGTTAAACGTAAATCTTAATAAAAATCCAGGGAAGGCTATCACTAAATAAGAGAACAACTATGACTATGGTTGCCTAATTTAGTTCTTGTCTTCCTTCTTTTTCTCGCCAGAAGCGTCGCTGCCTGAACTGCTGCTGTCGGCGCTGTCGGTGGATCCGGCGCCAGCATTGCTCTCGCGCTCAGCGGACATCTGCCAAAAGAAAGAATCAATTGATATACTGATTAGACAGACACAGGTCACATATATTTGGGCAACATACCTTCTTGTAGGCCATCTCAAAGAGCTTCAACGAAGCCTGCTGCAGCGAGCTGGTGGCCTTCCTGACCTCCTCCAAGTCGGCGGTTTCCTTGTTGGCCAGCAACGTGCGCAGATCGGCAATCTCCTTCTTAAGCTTCTCGCACTGCAATTAAACCGAATCGGATCAGTCAGATCGAAACCTAACTATTCCTTGTCTATGCATACCTCCTCTGCGGGCAACTGGCTCTTGAACTCCTCCATCTTGGTCTCAGTGTCGTGCACTATGCTCTCGCCCTGGTTGACGATCTCGATCAGTTCGCGCTTGATCTTGTCGGCGCTGGCGTATTCCTCGGCCTTCTTGATCATGTTCTCGATTTCGTCCTTGCTCAGACCGCCGCTCGACTGGATGACAATCTGTTGCTCCTTGCCGGTGCCCTTGTCCTTGGCCGAAACGTGCACAATGCCGTTGGCATCGATATCGAAGACCACTTCAATCTGGGGCACTCCGCGGGGTGCGGGTGGGATGCCGACCAGTGTGAAGGAGCCCAGCTTCTTGTTGTCGTTGGCCATCTCACGCTCTCCCTGGTGCACCTTGATCTCCACCTGGGTCTGGCCATCGCTGGCTGTCGAGAAGACCTGCGACTTCTTGGTGGGGATCGTGGTGTTGCGCGAAATCAGGCGAGTGAACACTCCGCCAAGGGTCTCAATGCCCAGCGACAAGGGAGTGACATCGAGCAGGAGCACATCAGTGACATCACCAGCCAAGACTCCGCCCTGAACGGCTGCACCGACGGCCACCGCCTCATCGGGATTGACGGAGCGCGATGGCTGACGTCCGAACAGTTCCTGCACGGTGGACTGAACCTTGGGCATGCGGGTCATGCCACCAACCAACAGGACCTCTCCAATCTCTGACTTGGCCACCTCGGCATCGGACAGTGCCTTCTGGCAGGGCTGAATGGTGCGCTTGATGAGATCACCCACAAGGCTCTCCAACTTGGAGCGTGTCATCTTCAGGTTCATGTGCTGGGGACCGGCAGAGTCCATTGTCAGGTAGGGCAGATTGATGTCGGTCTGCTGGGAAGAGGATAGCTCGCACTTGGCTTTTTCGGCCGCCTCCTTCAGGCGCTGCATAGCAATGTTGTCCTTGCGGATGTCAATGCCGGTGTCCTTCTTGAATTCGGCCACCAGGAAGTTTACGATGTGGTTATCGAAATCCTCACCACCCAGCAGGGTGTCGCCGTTGGTTGACTTGACCTCGAAGACTCCCTTCTGGATTTCCAGAATGGAGATATCGAAAGTGCCGCCACCCAGATCGTAAACGGCAATGCTGAAAATTTAGAGTGAAAGTAATGAAACCATCTACAATGCATTCAAGAGCAATAAAAAAAGCATTGAACTCCAAGGTACACTTACATTTTGTCCTCCGTCTTATCCATGCCGTAGGCCAGGGCCGCTGCTGTGGGCTCGTTGATTACACGCAAAACATTAAGACCGGCAATCTGTCCGGCATCCTTGGTGGCCTGACGCTGCGAGTCATTGAAGTAGGCGGGCACAGTCACCACGGCGTTCTTTACAGGTGTATTCAAGTAGGCCTCGGCCGTCTCTTTCATCTTAATTAGGATGAATGCGCCAATCTGTGAGGGGGAGTACACTTTGCCATCGGTGGACGACACCCAGGCATCTCCATTCGAAGCCTTGACAACCTTGTAGGACAGATTGCTGATGTCCTTCTTCACCTCGGGATCGTCAAAACGTCTGCCAATCAGGCGCTTTGTGGCGTAGAAGGTGTTTTCAGAGTTGGTCACAGCCTGACGCTTGGCTGGCATGCCCACCAGGCGTTCGCCATCCTTGGTGAAGGCGACGTGGGAGGGCGTGGTGCGGGCTCCCTCGGCGTTCTCAATGACCTTTGCCTGCTTGCCCTCCATGACGGCCAGGCAGGAGTTGGTGGTGCCCAAATCGATGCCAATAACTGCACCCTTGACCTCGCCAGACCTAAAAAAAGAGTGAAATATGGATTGCTCGTGAGCAGATGGTGAAAAACCGAAAATTGATAACGCCAGCAAAGAGCTTAGATAAGCGACTAGGCCGCGCCTCTATCTCTGTTCGAGCAAGAAGCTCCAGATGTTTCCAACAATCAAGAGCTGAACTCTTGGCATCCATTGTGATGCAACATCGAGTGTCTGCTGGAAGCTAAAATCTTTTTGGCAGGTTCCATTACATAAGCACAACTACACAACTACCTAGGGGACCGGTCGGTCAGTCGGCACTCTCTTTTTCGTTTTAATTTCATTGTAAATGTAAATTAATTAAAGATCACTTACTTGTAGCGCTGCTGACCCCACAGTCCATTGCTTGCACCTGGCAGGCTCTGTAAAGAGGAGAGAATGCATCGATCTTTATAGAATGTTCGCGCAAAACATGACCCGCAACGAGCCGAGCGTGAGCATGCCGCTCCGGCTATTATGTAAAGACGGCGGCCGTGGTACTTACGCGGAAGATGCTAGAAGCTCCCGATGCATTTGTGGGCACAACGCCGGCTTGGCGTGCGAGACGTGGCAACAACCTAGGAACACGCAGCATTTTCGGTATTTACTTTAATTACACAATGTCAAATTAAAAAGCAAAATTTCGTCAGGCGAGCACGTTTCCCGTATGTGGCGAGGGCTGGAAAAAAGTAATCGGTCACCAACGGAACGATAGGTTTTACTGGTTTTCACCCAGAGTTGACAGCATTCGCTTGTGCAGGTTCGATTATTTAAAATACAATAAGTTTTGATGTTTGAGTGATGCAGAATCGCTGCTGTGATATTTATATATCAGTGTTACTTCTCGATTGTGACACCTTCTATCCTCGAGCACAAAACAAGGTGTGCAAATCCAGGAAAAGTCGATGGTTTGGTGGGTTTTCCTGGTCAATTGTTGGGAAATGCAGTTCCAATCATCACCATATGTTATTTAAGTACAGAATTTAAAAGTATTGAAAGAGACTCATTGTTGGCAACCGGTAATGGAGGTCCGATTCAAGTTCGGCTATCGATATCACCCAGGGCTGATAGCATGTTCGATTATTTGAACCGATGTTTGAGTGAGTGTGACCATAAACTATCGGACCTTCCCAACACATGTATATCAGCCTATCATTGCGTAAAGCTATCCAAAAATTTTGAAATACAAATTAACACAGAGAACGCCGGTGAGGTGCGTGCGCTGCCATTCTGTCTGACTACCAAGCACCGCTTAACCTAACAGGGGCAGTATTTACCGGCCTGCGCCATGGCTTCGGAGAATGAATCTGACGTCGAGCTGGAGGAGAACTACTACACATTTCTGAATTTGCCCCGAAATGTAAGTGCATCGTCACTCGCACGTCACAGTCTTATCAATTTGTTTTTAGGCCACCACAGAGCAGATTAATACAGCTTACAGGAAGCAGAGCCGCATTTACCACCCGGACAAGCACCACAATGAGGACAGCAAGAAGCAGGCGGAGATTATGTTCAACCGCACCAAGCGCGCGTACGAGGTGCTGTCTGATCCCCACCAGAGGGCCATATACGACTCGGTGGGCGTACAGGGCCTGAGAACCGAGGGCTGGGAGATTGTCCACCGGACCAAGACGCCGACAGAGATCAGGGAAGAGTACGAACGCCTTGCGCAAGCTGCTGATGAACGTCGCCTGCAACAGCGAACTAATCCGCGGGGGAACATCACCATTAACGTGAATGCAACGGAAATATTCGCGCCCTACGATGAAACGGAAATGCCCCGCGTTGAGATAGGGTCAATGAGCATTGCACAGTCCATCGAGGCCCCTTTGACGCGCAAGGACATGATCATTATGAGCGGCAACCTGTACTCCTCCAACGGGAATGGCAGTGGCGGGTTTGTGGTAGCTGGACGTCGACTCCTGAACAAGGGCTGGCTGGAGGTCTGTGCTGGAGCGGGAAACGGCTTCCTAGTGGGTCTCAAGGGTAAGTAATCAGTTTACCAAAGCCCAGCCCAGCCTGCAATATATCTAAAGTATGTGCTGTCAGGTGGACGCACACTTTCCCCTAAGGTGACGCTCAACGGCGGGACCAACATGAGTTTCCGGGAACACGGCGTGATACCCGCCCTGTTCTCCACGCTCGCTGTGCAGCTGGACAAGCACACAGTGGGCAGCCTGACGTTGAACGCGGGCCCCCAGTCGTCCATGTCCACACAAATCGACCACAGCAAGGACGAGTACGCGCTGAGCTCATCCTTTGTAATTGGTTCGCCGCACATCTACTTTGGTCTCTCCTACACGCGCAAGATGATAGAAAATGAGATGAAGCTGAAGCTGGCCGTGAAGTAAGTAGCTCTCACATCCGCAGATCGGGTTGATTAACACGAAATCCTTATTGCAGGGTCGGAACATTTGGCTTCATGGGCGAATATGGACTGGAGAAGAAGATTTCCAAGTACAGTTCTGTGACAGCAGCTGTCTCGATTGGTGTGCCTTCTGGAGTTATCCTTAAATTTAAGTGAGTACAATATAGTGTCCTGCATTTTGGACTATAATACATTGATGGCTTCGCTTGATTTTTGCTTTTAGGATACTACGATCGAATCAGTCTTATGTGTTTCCTATCCACCTGAGCGATGAGATAGTGCCCGCCGCTGTGTTTTATGCCTCTGTGACCCCCGTAATTGCGTGGTTCTTGATTAAGAAGACCATTATGGACCCAATGGATGCCGAGCGCAAGAGCGTCGAAGTGGAGCGGACAAAACGGCAGAACGAGCAGCGCCTGTTGGCCAAGCGGCAGGAGGCCAGTGCTGCCGTCCATCTTATGCAGAGTACCTACCATCGCATCATGACCGAGGAGCTGCAGAAGACGGGCCTGGTCGTCACAAGAGCCGTATATGGCTGCACAACGGAGAACAGCAGCACCCAGTTCAAGCCCGAGCTGTCGCTTGATGTCACTATACCAATTCAGTGTCTGGTCAGGGACAGTACCTTGCAGCTATACGATTCCTCAAAGGTTTGTTCAGAACCTGATGAAATATTGAATATAACTGATGTTATTCGTGTACTTACAGAGCGATCTTCCCGGCTTCTATGACCCCAGCATCGGGGACAATAAGATCCTACGCATAGAGTATACATACCAAAACCAGTTCAGGGTGGTCAACATAAAGGACAACGAGGCAATCCGACTGCCATTGCCATGATAGTGGTCTGGTCTGTGTGCTTCATACTGTATTTAGTATAAATCATCAGTTGTGTTTGTAACTTGTTTTTTAATCTTAATAGGAAAGACCCATTCCAAGAGATGGGGCAAAAAGAACGGTTAAGACAGCTTTATAATATTGCCCATTTACAATACCCATTTGCATTGTAAACTCACTGTTTTTAAGGATACTTTTGAGATCCGCGAAATAAACAACGAAATTTGTTCAAATTGGAATTCCATTCCTCCTAACGAACACTATCGATAGTTGATTGCCACAGCATCTTCGCGTGCACTCGATAGCGCGAACGCCGTCGATAGTCCGGCAACCCTTAACCTTTTAGCGAAAACATCAGCTGCTGGGGAAAATTTGTTTTGTTAACAATAAAAACGACCGTTTGCGCTGAAAATGCCACTGCGGAGAGGAAGCAAGTTAATCACGGAATGATGCAATGCATGGACCATGATCCTATTTACAAAGGCGAATCTCATCCGCTTCCTGGCCGGCGCAATATGCTTGTTGCTGGTGCTGAATTTTGTGGGCTTCCGCTCTGACGGAGCTAGCGGTACGTCCCTGAGCAAACTAAGGTGAGTGTGAGCAAGCGGTGAGCGGAGTAAGCCAATTAGCACTTTCATTTGCTGGCTATATCAATTACAGCATACGGCGCGTGCACAAATATGCGCATATACATAGGAACGCCAGCAGTGGGGGCATCCGGCTGCCTGCTGCGCCCCTGGCCCTATCGAAGGAGCGAGAGCTGCACAACGCTCAGAACTCCACCTCAACGACTGTGATTGCGATTGCAAACTTTACTTCCATTCCACAAGACTTATCGCACCCCTTTGCGAACTTCAACAGCACAAACATGAGCACACACAAGCCCCTGCCAATGAAACCAACCATGTCCGCCCTCCATGCCAATTGCACTGATCCTGATCCCCGAGATGGTATGATATATTCTCAGTCTGGTCTGTCTTGTGCAATGGCAGGTTAATGGTTAAAGAAATGCTTTTCTAGGTGGACCCGTCACGCCCAACACAACGCTGGAATCTCTAGATGTTATTGAGGCCGAGCTGGGCCCTTTGCTGCGCCCTGGCGGAGCTTTCCAGCCCGACAATTGCAACCCACAACACCATGTGGCCATTGTTGTGCCCTTCCGCGACCGCTACGCCCATCTCTCCGTCTTCCTCCGCAACATACACCCGTTCCTAATGAAGCAGCGCATCGCCTATCGCATATTCATTGTTGAGCAAACCAACGGGAAGCCCTTCAATCGCGCGGCTATGATGAATATCGGTTACTTGGAGGCCTTAAAGCTTTATCAGTGGGATTGTTTTATATTTCACGATGTCGATCTACTGCCTTTGGACGATCGTAATCTCTACAATTGTCCACGTCAGCCGCGGCACATGTCGGTTGCGATTGACACGCTTAATTTCAAGTAAGGAACCCATTGCTAATCTCCTGATCTTTCCTGCATAACTCGCTTTTGTGCCAGGTTGCCTTACCGAACAATATTTGGCGGAGTCTCTGCCATGACGCGTGAGCACTTCCAGGCCGTGAATGGCTTCTCCAACTCGTTCTTCGGCTGGGGCGGCGAGGACGATGATATGTCCAACAGATTGAAGCATGCGAATCTATTCATATCAAGGTACCCCGTGAACATTGCGCGCTACAAGATGCTGAAGCATCAAAAGGAGAAGGCCAATCCCAAGCGGTGAGTGAAGAAGTGTCCAAATTTAGAAAAATTATAATTCCTTGTAAAACCTCTGCAGCTATGAGAATATACAAAATGGCATGAACAAGATTGAAATGGATGGCATCAACTCAATCAAGTATGGCATCTACAGCATCAAGGAGTTCCCGACCTTCACGTGGTATTTAGCAGAGCTAAGGAACTCCGAGCGCAAGAGTTAGCCTAAATGGGGAGACCGAGACCCCAACTCAAAAAGACAGCGTAACCAACCTTACGTGACCTTTCAAAACGATCTATTATTGTGCATGTACAAAGGACAACATTACTTTCTCGAATAGTAGAATCTCTCTCTCTCTCTTTTACTAGAGAAGCCCCCAAAAAGGAAAGTTTATGCCGAAACGATGAAGACATTAGACATTAGCGCACATATTGTGTGTATGGTAGGTAGTACATAGTATCTCCACTCAATATACTCACAGAACTCTATGTAGTATACTTTTAATCCATAATTTAGCTCCAATTCGAAAATCCAACCACAGTCACAGAATGTAGCGATAATCGCCCCCTCCTCCCTTAAATACTCAAAGTGCTCAAGAATACTTATAGACTTTTTTGTTAATTTTTGTTTTGTTTTGTGTTTTTTGTTAAGTTTGTTTTTTCTATGGCTCTTCTATGGTATTTTATTCTATTCTCTTCAAAAGGCACCTACACCAATTCCTAAAAGGTGAAAATGTAGATATTACTTTTGTGATATGCAAATTGTTAATCGAGATCAGAAACGATTTATACCAAAATAAACTTATAAAAACTTTTACTATACCAAAAAAACAAATGCAAATGGTTTCGCTGCCCATTCCATTCCCCAACCCATCCATAAAACAGAGAGTTCATTGATTCGTTTGTTAGATATCGTTTTATTATTATGGTTACTACGTGTATTAGAGATAGTATTTATGGCTCTGTAACGACTGGGTTACCTTTTAAGTCGGAGTTACGTTTATTAGGTATACGATTAGTAGGTATTCAAGTGGCGCTTGGGGCACATTTATTAGTTATCGTATGCGACATAAAAATTCAGTTAAAACAATTTCGACTTTGGGTTTTCCACTGGTAAATGCTTGAGCAATAGTTGAACAATTTCGAGCAATCTATAACAGATATAACAATATGACAATCCTCAGATGCCGTAATACAAATTAAAGTATATACATAGACAATAACATAATGTGGGTAGACGACAGACATACATATAAGATTTGGCCAACAACTGACGAGTACAACATGTAGAGCCAGAGCCACCAATGGATAAGCAAACCCAATAGAAGTTAGACAGCAGAGAGCATAAACAGTCACAAATTCGACGCGGGGCAGGATTTAGCGTTAGACTTATTAACGGCAATATTAAAAACCTATATACAAGTACGACTTCCAGTTGCTGGAGAGCCAGCCCCAGCTCCTCCTCTACATGATGGAGCAGGGCATCGCACAGCAGAGGGGCAGGCACAAAGGCACCACAGCGCCGCCGGACTTGGTTTTCGTCTTTGACTTGGACCCGGACTCGTACTCGTACATTCCCGAGCCCTTGGCCCAGCGACCCTACAAAGAAGAGCACACATTTGTAAGCCTTTGGCTTCAGTAGAGCGACGGGACTCAAATACTTACACCAGATGCAGAACCGGCATGCATCTCCTCCCGCTTCATGACAATGGTATCGTGTCCGGGAGGATAGTAGACCTCCTTGCCGAGCTTGTTAACGGACGGCACATGCTGCTGGTTGGGCGAGGCCACGGATGTCTCGATTTCCCTCTTGCGCACGGGCGTCTCCAGGTCTCCGCGATCCACATGATCAGTCTGCAAAGGAGAGAGGAAAAGAGATAAACAATCAGGTAAGCAGAGGTCCGATAAGATAGATATATTCCAGTCTACTTACAGTGCCAAACGACTGCATCAGATCGTCCACACGCTGGGGTGGATTGCCATTGCCCACCGGATACTCCACTCCGTCCACAGGGAAGGGCGAAGGAGAGCCATAGTCCGGACCGCCACCAGGACCACGACGATTGTTCGTGTTCGTTGTGGAAGAGTACTTGTAGGTGTAGCTCGTGTTCGGCGGATATCCATTACCGGTCTGTGGCTGCGGATAGGCCGTGCTGGGCGGCAGCTGCTTCAACGGAGCAGACTGCGGCAGTCCCGGCTCATAAGGACCGCCATTTGGCGCACCGTGGATCGTGTTGACCGTATTGGAGGTCTCCGTTTCTTTGTAGTAGTAGCGGTTGACGCCACCTGGCCCAGACGTATGCAGCGGTGGGCTGTGTGGACCCTGAGCGTAGTTGGGGCTATGTGCCGGACTGTGGGGGGGATAGCGCTGCTGAGGCGGCAGCTCGTTGATCGTGTTCACGTTGTCCGTCTTGTGGATGTTGTATACCACAGTACGGCTATTGTTGCCCGGCAGTGTGCCTACCGGACCCGTTCCGAGCGGCAGCTGTCGCGGCTGGGGACTCACTCCGCGAGTGGTGGTCTCCTTGTGCTCGCGAATCTCGTACGACTGGTTGGTCAGTAGCGGCCGGTCGGGCTTGTTCAGCGTGGAGTAGCTCTCCGTGTTGTATACCACCGTCTGGGGCACCTGCGATGGCTGCGGATGTGGATGTGGATGAGGCTGCGGCAACAACTGGCTGAAGTTCTGGCTGGAGTTGTGGCTCTCGTGGAGCTTGTAACTGCTGCTCAGGGTGTTCGTGTTGCTGTTGTTGAGTGTGTGACTGCGGTTTATGGTGCTGGTTGCGCTACCCGGACCAGCTGGTATCTCATACGTGTACGTACGCACGGTGGTCGTCACCTTTGTGCCAGGGGCCGGCAAAATGCCATCGCTCAGGGCGATGTCCTGCAGCTCCTTGTCGATGGTAGTGCCACTAGTCAGGGTCTGTGTGATGCCGGAGCTCGGCAGCACCTCCACATTGTTGTTGATCGTCCGGTTGCTCTCGTAGATCTTCGACTTGCTCTCGTATTGACCGCCACTTATGGGTGAATGGGCTGGTAAAGGCGACAAAAAGTTATTGTAAGAATATACGCCTCACTTTATTCCCTATTTGCTTCGAAAGACTTACACAGCGTGTACGGCTTCTCCTTGGTCTGGTAATCGTCCCGCTTCAGGCTCGAGTACTTGGCCGTCGACTGCAGAGTGCTGTAGTCGGTGGGATTGAAGGTCTCCACATCATCGATGTAGGGCTGCTGGCCTGACCCGCCCTGACCCGAGTGTTTCGTGGTCTTCACCACACGCGTTGTCCTAGTGACCGTCCCGGCGGGATCAGTGCGTTCCCTGGAATGTAGAGACATGCTTTAGCAGAGTAGCAACGGTAGACATAGGATATCTCCAAGGGAAAACTCACAGCGTTCTATAGGAAGTGCCATTGGTGGGCAGTAGGTCGCGATCTCTGTTGGTGATCTGGCGTTCCTGCTTCAAGTCCTCCAGCAAAGCGTCCAACTGATCTATATTCTGATCGGGGGACTTGCCCTGATAGGACATATTATTGTCGCCAGAGCTTGAGTATTGATATGAGGACTTTTTGTACGCATAATTCTTGTCGTTCTGTGGAGGAAACGTAGATGAATAGGAATGCGAAAGTATGGATTGTATTTACCTTTCCGTTCCATTTTGCGGGCGTGTCCCTCAACGAGGATGAATAATTTTCCGAACTGCTCGAGTACTGCATTTCCAATTAGTGTTTTTGCTGAAACGAAAGCCAATTCAATCCATTCATAAATTATTCAAATTCTACGTGTGAGTAACCGAGAGAAAGAGGCGCCGTGGGTGTCTGACAGACACGTAGTACACGTAAGCACGGATCTCGGTTCCCGCATGGCAGGCAGGTTGATTCAAGGCAGTTCTCGTGAATTTCAAACATTTCTGAATCTGTTTACTCGGGCAACCGCCTACGCCTACCCGCCTACACCCATAGTATGCCCGCACCGAAATGGCGGCACTCGGCATTCCTCCAAAGTGAGAACTTTTCGCGCATTAATGGAGGCTTAAGTCATCTCATCTGAAGTGGGCATCACTTGAGCACACACAAAGCATGTGGGGTAGATCAAAGAATCACAGCAGTTAAGTGGCAGATAATACGAATCTGAAATCCCATTATAAATGCCACAAAATGTACCATTTTTGCAATATTCTTAGGCTTCAGAGAGAACAAGGGAACTTTTCCCAATGCTCTCTCTAAAACAGTGATCGGCACGCACATATTCACATGTCTTGGAGTCGTTTGTGTGCGTAGACAGCAGGCAAAACGGAATATTGTATTGGGGCCAACAACTGTTATACACGTGTACGTGAGGGGCAGCGCAGCAGCAGCGCACTTTCCTATGCACATAAGATAGGGCCTTGCCGATCGCTGATCTAAAAGAGCCCAATTTAAAATTGTATTCGTGCTTAAAATAGGTTGCATTTCAGCCAAATTATGACTTATGACAGTAGCTACCTGCTACAAAAAGGTAATACCATTGGCCAGGGTATCAACGAAACGGCATTGGATTCGATTCCCGAAATGCCACACAAAAGCACACGCATACATTCACACATTCAAAGGCCAAAAAGTCACAGAAATTCAATGTCAAACTGGTTTTCACTTTCAGCGTGTCCTTTACACTCCTTTTACGTATGACTGGGACAGAAAACGAGGCATACATATGCACATAAAGTATGTATAACCTTATACATGTACACATGTACATACATATATCCTAAAGATTCGTTTTGCGTTTTAGCGATAACCTTGAGAAGAGAGATTCACTTAATGAGAGATACAGATACAGTGGGAGAGCGAATGAGCGTGATGCAAAAAAATTCGTCAATCACACACAAGAATGATGACCGGCGATGATGTCATATATGTACTAGTCCCAGAGGCTGCACTGCACCACTCGACAGACAGCCCTGACAACCACTGCACTGGGGACGGGGACCTGCCTTCTGCCTGTCACATAAGCAGTCCAATCAAAACGAAGCTAAATAAATCACGTTATCACGGGGATCCAGCACTGAGGAAACGCTCGCCATATGGTCAAGAGTAGAGAGCTAATAGAGACACAAAAAAATCACTCGCATAAGCAAAATATCATGCATAAAATATCATACAATAATATGAATAAAAGGCCAAATTTAATTGATGCCGCCGTCACCGCCTCCGCCCCACCTACCAGTGATCATAGCACGTTTTTAGCAGAGCTCTGGGTCTCAGTTTGGTGTGTGTTATGGCGACAACAGCTAAAACCGTACGGAGCACGGAGAACTGCGAGGAGCGGAGAAGAGAGGAGAGTAGAGTAGAGTGGAGGTTTTTGCATACAGACGCACACATGGGTCAAAAATGATCTCATGTATTCGAAACGAGAAGCTCTGTGGAAACATGTTGCTGCCTGTCTCTCTGGGCATGGGCATGGGGGAGTAGGCGGGGCGCTACGAGATCGGGATCGAGATCGCGAAACGCCATAGAGCTTCTGTCCAATCGCCAATAGATGGGGTGGAGGGGGAATACGTAAGGGGGGCGATTTACGGCGCAAACATAAAATAAACAAATCGCAAGCGAGTGAACAACAAGTTTGAGATCGGGGGAATAAAAAGCGAAGGTGTTGTTCTTGTCGTTCCGAAATTACCGAAAATCAAATTGAAACGTAGGCGAGAAGTGTATACATAATACATACATACATACATTTGTATGTACTATTTTCTATATGGAGCATGTTCTGTCCGTGACTGATCATCATGCTGGTGACGCTTCTCCCCGACACCCACGCATCTTACAGTTCAAAAAGATCAGGCGCCGTTTGAACTTGGCTAATATAGATGTTTTGTTTCTATAGACCATTCGAAGGAAATTCAGAGGCAGATCTGACCAAGCATCACCGCCAAAAGTACAATGCCAGGCAACGTATTCGTCGTCGTCGCCTTTCGGACTTTTGCTGAGCAATTTTTGTACGGCTTCGAGTATATGAAAACAAATAATTCTATAAATAGTTCACTGCCACTGTGCTTTTTGGCTTTTCGCCTTTCAATTTGAATACTGCGCCGTCCGTGCTTGAACATTGTACGGGTCTGGTGTTCTGTTCTTGAGTGCCCACCGTACATGAATCATCTGGCGTGTGTAGTGTATCTCTAGAGTCTAGAGATACATAGCTGGCCGCCGTCTGGCTGGCAGAATGTGAGGATGCGGATATACAATAGAGTGCGTTTTTTCTTTCAACGAACGCAATTGAAATTTCACTTTGCTGCCAAACACGAGAGTCGGTCGCCCGTTCGAGTACTTCCTCATACAAAACACCATACAACAATAGATACAAACATCCATCCATCCATCTATGTATGTTTGTGTCTGTGCGCATAGCGGATAAAAAGTAACGACGACGACACGTAGGGAAAACTCGTTTGCACCGAGAGTATGTGCGTGTTGGTTTGTTCTCCTCCTCCACCCCACTGTCACCAGTGTGTGGCTGGGCTGTCTCTTTTGAAGCTCGTCTGCCAGTTCAATAGACCACAATATGAAGCCCACTCAACGTACACATCCACACTTCCATCGAAAAAATAGCACACACAAACACAAAACACAAGCAGTGAATACATTCACTCGCACTCACTGTGCAATTTTCCAAAACTCCAAAAAACGGTACGATTGATGTTGTGTACAGTTCGGCGGAAAAAAGAAAACTGCTGCGATGCGCGGCGCGTTTGTCTTGGGAAATTCGCCTTCGCGTAAGAGAGAGAAACACTGAATGTGGATCTGCTTCGATCGTTCCAAGCACAAAACAACTTAACGGCAACGGAATTGCTTCTGCGCGCGTCTCTTGGCTCTCAATTGACTTGGCGGCCGCCGGAGCTTTGGTGTCTCGATAACGTGAATGGTCGATATCGATATCGGACTCCTTGGTATTGGATTGTGTCCAAAACAAGCTTTCGATTTCGCACTTGCCACCACCGATCCCCATACGATTCGATTGAAGCAGAGAGACGGAGACGAACCTGTTGCTGGTTGGTTGGCTGGGGCTCCAAGAGCATCGCATCCATTGCTCTTGCCTCTCAGTTCCAAAGCTCGCCGAAAAAGCTTTCAGCTCGGACGGCGACGGCGTCTAATGCTAATCGTATAAAAGATAGAAAATAATACTTGTTTTGTGCCACGAAACATGTATACTCTTTTGTGGCATGCTCGCTCTTGGCATGACATTTGACCTTCTAAACTAAAGCAAACACAAATTACTCTTATCTGCTGCACTCAGAAAACGTACATATGCATGTTCGCGCCAAAATTCTAGCGAGACCGCCCAAATGCGCGTGGCGACGGCGTCGGCGTCGGCTTTTATATCCCTATCTTACATTTATAGCGAATAAACCAGGTTTTTCTTTGCTGCATTTACTCGATACGATTATCAAGTATTTTATTTTATACAGTCGTATTTCGGTATGCGAAGTCCATTAAATCTGTAAGCTTTTCCATAAAAACAAAGACCCTTACAACTGAGGGGCAGCTACGTTAAGATACCATACATATACAAGTAAAAAGTAAACATCTAATCCTTGGCAGGCACCTCGATGACGCGGGGCTTGTCGATGATGCGGGCAGTCTTGTTGCCCTTCTCGACAATGCCAATGATCCAGGCCTGGTAGCCTTCCTGCTTCTCAATGTCCTTGCAGTAGGCGGCGGCCTGTTCGCGCGGCAAGCAGATCAGCAGACCTCCGGAAGTCTCGGCAGAATGGCCCTGCAGCAGCTGGAACATATTGCCACAGGCCTTGGCAACGGCCGCCATTTTTGCGATCACTGGAAGATTATGAATAACGAAGGAGACGTCCTTCTTTTGGTGAGCCGCCAAAGTCTGAGCATGGCCCAGCAGACCGAAGCCTGTTATGTCGGTGGCCCCGTGGGCGTTGTACTTGTGCATGAGCCGAGCTGCCACACGGTTTAGGCGCGACATCGAGTTCATGGCCCTGTGGTAGGCCTTGCGCACATCTTCCTCGGATACGACCAGCTTGATGCGGTTCCAGCGCTCCGCCTGGTCTATCCACTGGTGAGCATTGACGGCCACCTGGGTGCCCAGGGGCTTGGTCAACACCAGAACATCTCCAACGACAGCGTTGTCCGGTACAATATACTCGTTCGGCTGGCAGATGGTGGAGGCCACGCCGCCAATGGTGCACCAGGGATTGACCACGCTCTGGCCCCCAGTAACCGTGGTGCCGGCCTCCAATGCGGAATCCTTGAAGCCACGCATTATCAGAGGGATGACCACATCGCGCTCCTTCTCCGTCATCTTTGTGCTCACGGCCAGCAGCATCAGCATGTTGTCGCAATCGGTTACGCCCATGGCGTACAGATCACTGAGCACGTTGGCACAGGCTATTTTGCCCATCATATATGGATCGTCGACAATCGGATAGAAGAAGTCGGTGGTCTGCACCAGGCAAAGTCCGCCATGGCGAAGAGGAATGACAGAGCAATCCAGGCCAATGCCGATTCGTGGAATCGCCACGTTTAGGAACTGCGGCTCCTGGTCCTGTGCTGAGTAGTCCTGCTGCAGAGCCGACACCAGTTTCGAGAGTACATCCTGGGGCACCTTGCAGCCACGTCCCTTCAGATCAGCGAAACGTGTCAGACGGAAAGAGGCATCCAAGTCGTGAGCGGTCGGATCAAAGGGGCGGCGCAGTTCTGCGTCGCCACCACCGTGAAGCTCCAGATGGGCAGCATTCAGGACGTCTGCGGCGTAGCTCATTGTGTGCTAGAACTAGAAAAGGAGCGTTTCTTTGTATAGTGTGACAGCTATGAATATTTACGCACTTCTTGCCGCGCAACAAAAACAAAATCAACCAAGCCGCAAGTAACTCGCGTTCTCCCGCAACACCAATACAGGCGCACATAGACGTGTATGTACACACAATTTTTGTTGCGTGTGAGTAACAAGCGCTGTGATTGGCTGTTTTCACGATGGCGGCTAAAACGGGCGAAGTCAGTATTTCTCCCTGTCGGCGAGGCGTGCAACGTGAATAATGCCCACTTATGTGAGTCGAAAAATGCCAAAATAGTGTTGCCTTTCACTAGTTGGTGCATTTGAACTAATTAAACATTGGTTGGGAACACTTTTACTTACAGTGGTCTTATTAAATTTACAGGGAAAACTCTTGATATTGACTGCGAAAACTGTATTTATTTTGCGCCGTTTTGTCTTCTCCCACAGAGCGATTTGTCACAACAGAGTTGCTTCCAGAAATATATGAAAATATATGGTCTCACTTAAAAAATATACCGTACATATACTGACAAATTGACGAAGTTCTACTGTACATATTCCTCGTTTTTGATATTCCGTCGAATATTACTAGCTGGATAGAACCCTCAGCCATGCCCACATATTTTTTTCCGTTTAATGAATCAATTTTCTTATTTACTGATTTATTTTAAATACTTGCTTTTAGTGGATTCTGCCCAATAAGAGGTTTTAGCGAAAAATGTCAAACAAATGATATACGGTCTCATTTTCAAAATATATCGACGAATTTTTCATATTCCTCGTTTTTGATATTCCGTCGAATATTACTAGCTATTTAGATCTGTCAGCCCTGCCCACATAATTTTATCCCATGGACGAATAAGTTTTCTAAGAGATTGACTACTTTTAAGTCCTTCCATTTCGTGTAAGCAACAGAAAACAGTGGCAACTTAAGTGAGTACGGAATGTTGAGCTGAAAAGGGACATTGTGGCGAGAAAAAATCCCTCCACGAAGAGAGGATATCCCATCACAAAACAGAGAGCAAATTACAAAAAAAGAGGAAGTCCCGCCAAACTTGAGCGCCTGAGTCGAATTGTTTGAAAGTGAATGAGTGAATAGGATCTTAATCCAATCCATTGGAATAAGTGGCGCACGGAATTACGATTTGTGGGAGAGAGAAAATTCAAGAAACCTGCGTATTGAAGTTTCCATACCATTTGTTCTCAAATTTACCTATAAAAATGAAGTTTAATAGATGAAATCGATAAAATATACCATTATACCAATATACCATAAATATACCGTTGGCCAAACTATCGTTGCTAGAAGCGTGGGGCTGCCAAATCGCTGAAAGTCGATCGATATAAATGCGCGCTTTTGCAAATATATAATAAATATATATAAATTGAATTGTTATAAAATTACCATTCTGGGCCTCGCACCATGACTCACTGGCCTGCCTTGAAGGCGTCGCTCCGCTTAGGCGGAGGCAAAACACCCTGCTCACAGCCACTGCACGGCATTCGTCCAACGACTAACAACAAAACCTGTTGCTCGATAAGAGCAAAAAGTAAAAGTGAGTCGAAACAATGAATAATTTACCTTTGTTCGCCGTTGTGTAATCTAGGAAATTCTTCTTAGCTTAAAAACTATTGGCGCCTTTGGGAAATATCGGAAAGAGGAATCTAAGCTTTGAAAGAAGGACAAACAAAAGACTTGAGCAACAAACTTTCTTTTGCCTTGGCCATGGGCTAAGTGAAACGCTGACGACACCACACCACACCTCATCATGGTAACGCTACGCCTGCGCAGTCTTATACTGCTGCAGCTGTTGGCCGTGGCCAGCGCTGAGTATGTGTACGGCGAGCCCAAGTTCAAGTGTCCCAAGAAGTAGGTGTCTTTCAACTCTTAATAATAAATTTAAAATAATTTCGCGAATATTTGAACCAGATCCAAGGTGCTTTATCCGTGCAGTTGCATTAAGGGCAGCGATGAGGGAATCTTTGTGCGCTGCGAGAAGGTCAACCTGGCTACGCTCTCCGTGGCTCTGCAGAACTTGGCCTCCTTCGGTTTTCCCGTCGAGGAGTTGACCATCTACAGGGGTAACTTTGGTGCGTACTACTCTTTTACTTGCAATTCGAATACTTAATAGCCTGTTTCTGCCAGTTCGATTGTACGGTCCTATGTTTGCCAATATCAAAGCCCGCATCCTGATCATTGAGGAGACTCCTCTGGCGACCATCGAAGATTACGTGTTCTATGGCGTGAACAACACAATGGAGGAGCTCCACTTGTTGGGCACCAATTTGAGCCATGTTGGACCCCTGGGATTTGGCGTAAATATAAATAGGAGTCGAAAATACCATGAAATATGGTCGATCAATAATTGTGATTTCAGATACTGGGAAAGACCACTAAACTTGTGATTAAAGGACATGCATTTGAGCAGCTTCCAAAAGATCTCTTCGCTGGCCAAGAGATCACCAATAGACTGGAGACGTTGCGCCTGACCAATGGACTGCTGAGCGATCTACCCATTGAGACATTTCAGCCTCTGCGCAAGCTGAAAACTCTCGACCTGCATGGGAATCAGTTGGAGAACCTAAAACGAAATCAGTTTAAGAATCTCAGGGAATTGGAGCTCTTGGATATAAGTCACAACGGGATCAAGAAACTGGAGGCGCAACACATTTCCGATCTCACAAAACTGGGCTGGTGTAATGTCTCGCACAATGCCCTAAACGAGCTGAGCCGCGGAACGTTTGCCAGGAACTCCGTGCTAAAAGTGCTCAATCTTGCCCACAATCGCATACCGCGTCTGGATGCGAACAGCTTCCGGGGCATGCGCTTTCTGCGCCGCCTATTTCTCAGCGACAATATGCTCACGGAGATTGGTCGCGGTACATTCGGGTCGGTGGCCCGCATTGGAACAATTGACTTGGCCCGCAATCTGCTGAAGAAGGTTGAGTATCAAATGTTTACCCAAATGAACTATGTAGAGGTACGTACCCAACCAAAATGTCAACCGAAGAATGAGTAAACTGTATGGACTTGTATATTTTCAGCTCTTGGATCTGGCGGAGAACAACATCACGAAGATCGAGAAGAACTCGTTTAAGGACATCTACCAGGCGGTGATAAATGTCTCGCATAATGCCTTGGAACTGATTGAAACGGCCGCCTTTGAGAACTGTATTAACATAACCACGCTCGACCTATCCCACAACCGCCTGACCAACTTCTCGCGCCGCAGTTTCGACGAGAATACTTTTGCCACGACCTTCCAGCTGAGCTTTAATGGTCTGACCAGCCTGGCACATGTAATAACCCATTTTGAATAGACCCAGACTTGGTAACTAATCTTGTTTGTCTTTCAGATACCGATACAGAACATGACGGGCTTGAAAGTGCTGAATGCCTCGCACAACAACATCTGGGAGATCCCCAAGAACTCTTTTCCCAAGCTGTACGAGCTTCACACAATCGATGTGTCGCACAACAATATCTCCATCATATTCAACGGGGTGTTTCAGACTCTCTTCTCGCTCCGGACCGTGGATCTGAGCTATAACAGAATGCGGGAAATCAAATCCTCCACCTTTGGTACCCTTCCCACACTGCTGCTGTTGGATCTCAGTCACAACGAGCTGGTGTCCGTGGTGCGTGGTTCAATGGCCAAGATGACCAGCATGCGGCAGCTCTACTTGAACAACAATCGTCTGGAGAAGCTCTTCCAGCTGCCCATTTCACTGAACGAGCTCTATCTGAGTCACAACAACATTACGTCAATCCCAGCGGGCACATGGCCGGTCATGAACTCATTGATCTACCTGGACCTGAGCCACAATCAGCTGGGTGACAGCCTGGACTCGCAGAGTTTTACAGGGCTGCTGGTGGTGCAGCGGCTGAAGCTGCAGAGCAATGGCATAAGCCGGCCACCTCTGGAGGCAGTGGCGGGCATGTCAACGCTCCAGTATCTGTACTTAGAGGTTAGTTAATTGTAGGGAAATTATGGTCATTTGGAGTATATTTCGAACTGCTTTCAGAACAACAATATATCCTCCTTGGAGCGCAGTGCCTTCGGCAAGCTGCCGGTTCTATTTGAACTCAATTTGCATGGCAATCAGGTCATGGACATTAGGTGAGTACCTCATTATACTTCCTCTACGGTGTACGAACGATTTTATCTCCGATTTTGCCCACAGCAAACGCGCCTTCGATGGCTTGCTGCAGTTGCTCAACCTGAATCTGTCTTCAAACGGACTCAAGCACCTGCAGAACGACATCTTCTTTGGACTGCCTTCCCTGCGCACTTTGGATCTGTCGCACAACTCCCTTACCAAGCTGGATAACAAGACGAACGGCGTCCTGGATGACCTGCTTAGCCTGGAGACTTTGGACTTGAGCCACAACCGCATCAGCTTCGTCACCAAGAAGACCTTCCCTTCGCACCAGTACATACCGTACAACCTGCAGTACCTAGACCTGAGCTACAACCAGATGCCCGTCCTTACCTACGATATAACCTTCGGCACCAAGAAGCTGCTGCACCTGAATGTGTCCCACAACCAGATCAACGACCTGCGACGAGGCGTCCTCTCCAACTTTACCTCGTTGAAGCACCTAGACTTGTCGCACAACGAGCTCACGAACCTCCAGTCAGAGGAACACATCTTCGACCTGCCCAAGAACCTGAGCCGCCTCGATCTGTCGCACAACCAGATATACCACATGCCCTTTGCCAATCTGGTGAAGGTCCAGTCGCTGACATTCGCCGACCTGTCCAACAACAGCCTCGAGGATGTGTCCGCCTCGCTGGTTGGCAGCATGCGCAACGGCAGTGAGATCCTGGTGGCCGGCAATCCACTCCACTGCGGCTGCAATGCACGTCCCTTGAAGCACTTTATGCTGCAACAGACGACACCCAGCGAGGACCTGCGGAGCATCCTCTGCACCACACCATCGCTGGCCAAGGACAAGTACCTCCTGGAGCTGGACGACGAGTTACTGCAGTGCGCCGACGACGAGAGGGAGATGTACACGGGCACCGACTACGAGCAGCTGACAGATGTCCGGTTCCGTGAAGTTCAGACGTAAGCACAAAACCTACTGTCCGACAACTTTTCAGTCACTGACACTCTGATTCCTCTTTCTCCACTCCATGCAGCAGCAAAGCCGGCAATCTAACGCTCAGCTGGTATGTGTCTGCCACAGCGGATGTGTCCGACTTCAACGTGTACATCCGGAGCGGCGGCAACGAAGTTCTCTTCCAGGCGGACTATGCCTACAACCAGCGAACGGCCCAGATACCCATCGCAGACCTCCAGTCGCACGGCGAGGACAAGCTGCTGTCTGCCGAGATCTGCATCGTGTCCCGCGATAGCGACGGCAACACCCGGAAGTGGTTCGCCGGTCAGTGCCAGCCACTGCCGTCGCTCAAGCTGCGCAGGACCTTCTTCTTTGGAAACTTCCAAGTGCGAGGAGGAGCAGCCGCCGCTAGCCACCACACCGGAGAGTGTCGCCTCGTGTTCATAGCTATCATGTTGTTTGTTGCTAAGCTGTGGTATTCGTGGTATTAAATGTCCGTCTGCGGCCACCGCTTATTGTAAGGACACGCTCTGTTCTTCTCTATCCTTACGGTCGAACATGTGCACGCTGCCACATTATAACAGCCGCGCGCACATGTACGGGTAGTTGTTTACTCGGACGCTGGACATAGGACGTCGCCTCGCGTGGCAGCGCAATTGAGAAATTGTTACTGCCCCACCCACACCCACAGCCTCAGCCGTAAGCCCAGCTGATGGCACAGCCGGACGGACTTTCATTCAGAGCGAGAAAACAAAGGCCGCCTCGGCTGTCCTTTCATTCTCTATTTCGGATTCGGCTGGGGCTTCGGGTTAGGTTTCTGCCCGGAGAGAGTGCCGAGAGGCGCGGAGAGCGAGGCTTGACACACAAATGCGCACTCGCGCTCTCTCAGCTAAAATGGTGTGCGTTACACTGGCGGCAGTAATTGATGATGATGGAAAGTTTAATTCAGAACATAATTTGATCTTCGAAAGCTGTAGAGCCTTAGAGCTATATACGGCATAGAGCTAGGAAATTTTAAATAATAATATGTATATCTATATCAAAAAAGGATGAAAAAGCATTCTGAGGTACACAGTACAGTACAGCATCGTGAAACCTCTCTCAATGTGACCTGGCCAGCAGTGTGCTAAGGACATGTGCACTTTCACTGCCACGCCACCCACACACGCACGCACGGCATGCTCTCGATTTCACTCTAGCAACCACACACAAACACACAAGAATGTGCTTTTTGTGTTTTTGTGTGACTTTGCTTTTGCATTTGGGCCGTCCTTTGCGACTTTGCCTGTCCTTATCGATTTTCAGCGAAATTTCACAGGCTCACGGCGCACGTCAGTGCCATGCGAAAGCGAAGTTTCACTTGTCGCGCTGAGTTCGTTCGTGTCGCAGCAGCAGCAGCAGCAGTAGCAGAAGCACTAGCGAGTGCCGTTATATCGTTAACCGTTCGTTCGTTCGTTACATAAAGAAGAGATTCCAATAGAAAGTTTAAGTGCGCTGCTGTCTGACGGCATAGATCAGTGAAACTTTCCAGGAATAACCAAATCAGCAAATTGTGATAAGCAGTACGAAGCGCGACCCCAACCCCAACCCCCCAAAGAAATCGAATCAAATTTCAATGTAATAAGTCGGAAATTGAGTGTATCCTCTCACTTTTACCTCTAACTCTCTCTCGCTCTCTCTATGGAGAGTGGTGTATAGCTGGCATCTGGGTGCGAAAACACAGCACGCTTTTGATAAACGTGCCGTAACACGGGCGTTGCGTTGAAAAAAAAGTTTCAGGTAGCAGCAGACGCAGAGAGCAGGGAGGTAGAGAGCAGGAAGAACGAAATGTAATAGAGGTCAAAAGAAGCATTGATTTAACGTGTGCTGTGCACTTCCTCCCCCACTCCACTCCCCCTATTCACAATCTCCCTCTCACCCACTCACCCACTCCCGCTCTTCACAGTTCAGTTCACCTCTACTTCGTCTTCTTCTTTAAGTTCTCCTCCTGCTCTCCCTCTCCCTCTCTTTCATCTCCCACTATCTTGGGTGGTCTGTTTTTCGGGACACGACTGTTGTTAATAGTGTGCTCGCCTCGCCTGTCTTCCCGGATATTTGTGATTCTATGCGTGCTTGTTGTCTGTGTGTGTGTTTCCTAAATAATTTGTTTAAAGTTTCATTCATTCAATAGAATACGATACACACACACACACGTACAGTGCGCCGTGTCCGTGTGTGTGTGTGTTTGTGGGCGTGTGTATGTGCGAAAATGTTGATGACGAACCCACTTACGTTTATCGCAAACCCACGAAACAACCCACGAAACCACCACAAACAGCCGCAGCAGCTGAAAAAAATCGCATGTAACACACGAACACACACACACACACACACAGACACATGTACAGTTCAATATCCAATAAGAAACCAAGCATAATTACATAATCAAATAAAGGAACGACTAGCAAAAAAGACAAAACAAAAGCCTAAAAGGAATAAACAAAAGCACAAGTCTTAAAAAAAAACAAAAAATAAAACAGAAAGTTAATCCAAAAATGAAACGAAAATCGACGTAACGTGCACAATTATTTAATCAACGCCAGAGGCCCCCTGGAAACGCCTCAAACAAAAGAAAAAAAAAAAACTACATAGAAAGCGAAAAGGAAAGAGGAGAAAACTACGTATAGGAAGTAATAATAGAAAACAACCAATGTACCTGCAACAATGAAATTGAGCAAATCTTAAACAACAAACCCCAAAAACCAAAAACCAAATTTCACCAGGATAAAGATTACTTTTAAAAATATACAAAGACACTCGATATATACCAAAGAAAAGTGCTACACATATACTCGTAAACGATAGGCAATACATATAACATATGCTATAAAGACTACTACCGTACATAAACCGTATAAACCGTAGTTCGTTGACGTTTGTTCACTGCTGGGAGGATAAGGATAGCGATAGAGATAGAGAGTACCCCCCAATCCAATCGTTGGATTGGATCGTAGAGTAATATGGAACTAACCTCGTAGTTTGTAGAGAGACGTGCGTCTCCGCAAGTAGGAAGCAAATCAAATACTCGTAGCCGCAACATTAACGCACTTAACGACTAACTAAAACTACCAAGTAGTTGCCTCTCTTATACAATATATACATATATAATATATACACCTAAAAGATATATACAAGATACCTAGCTGTAGCCGAACATATACGCCAATCTATATATCTACCTATATGGATTTATTTTTATAATGTCGCTAAACGAGCCCGAGCATCCTCAGAACTACTCCCACTCCCACTCTCACTTCTAGTAACACTCAGAGTCACGGCCCCTAGTCCTACTCGACCTAGGCCTTTCAAATTGCATCTGAATAAGTAACGAGGTCGATTAATGCATTAATTGGGTGGCGAAGGACACCGCCACGCCAAGCCGTGCCAAGGAGGGACCCCACCCGGTCCGGTCCGGTCCTTGCCCCCGCCCAGCCGCATCCTTTCTCGCTCGCGTGTCGTGCCGCTCGTGCTAGAATCCAAGGAGATATACGCGCTCACACACACACACACATCATATATATATATATAGGAAAACTACCTGCTTTGGGTTTCCTGTGTGGCGCCTGCCTTGACGTAACTTTGGGCCGCACAGCTGCAGGAGGAGGAGGAGGGAGTAGCACCGAAACGCCTTAACCTGACTCACTTCCATCGCTCCAAAGAGCGACCGCAACGCCAGAAACGCCAAACCTTGCCCGCTGTGCGTTCATTAAACTTTCATGACCAAACATTAAATTGCAAAGAGCAGGAGGAAGTGAAAGTGGAGAGGAGAGAAGATAAAAGGAGGAATCCGAACCCCCATTACCATTCCATAGCATACATTTCGGAGTAAGGAAACTAAGCCAAAGTAACAACGCTCCATCATCCCCCGGCTCGGTTGTTGTTGTTTTTTTGTGATAAATTATTCACCGATCCGGATCCGGATCTTGATCCCGCCCACCCAATCCAGCCCTTCTTGTTCTTCGGCCTCAGCTCCAGTTCCAGTTCCAGCTCCAGTTCCAGCCCCACCATCACCTTCTACACCACCACCAAAAACAATAACGATACCGTAGAGGAAAAACGACATTTATAATCCAAAGTACAAACGAATAACCCCAAACAACGCTGCAACCCGAACTAAACTATAAATAGCAACATATGGTATTATTATACATTGTACAAGCCGGCAGATATACATGATATGAACACATAACCTCCAAGCAAACACCCGCATAACGAATAACGAATCGAATCGAAACGAAGCGAAGCGAAACGTGCAAAACCGAAAGCAATACAAGCAAGTGCTGTTAACTATTTTAGGAGCTACTTTTTAGACATTCAACCCTACGTTACTTAACACCCAAGAACCCACCAAAATAACCGAACCCCAAACCCCGGAAGGAGGACAACAAGCAGGAGGCAATGCAGTGAGAGTGAAACAGATAGACTAACACACAACGAAAAGCAATTTATTTTGGCATTGGACCTGTGTTAGTTAATGCCAAAAATCGAAACGGAAGTTGCACCCCCACTCCACACACAGACACACACCCACATAAACACCTAAAAAATGCCCATAACAGGGTTAAGAATTGCATCAGTCATCGCGGGGCGTCCATTATAGGACGGAATAGCCCCAACAAAAGGCACCAACAGCCACCACATCAGGAGTTTAGCGGCAACTGTAACGGTTAGAGGATAGCGGATAGCAGATAGCGGGTAAAAGTCAAAAGTGGCGAGAGAGTGGCGAAACTTCACCGTTACTCGATGTGGTGCTAGTGGTGGCGACGTGACGGCGGCGTTGTTGACAGAAAATGCACGTGAAACACACTCAGCGCCGAGTCAGCGGTCCTGGAGCATTCGGAACCTTTACCAACGATCAACGGTATGAGAAAACCCATCCATCATATACCCACGTATGCCCTCTCCATGTCTATGTCCTTTGTACTGTTGTTGTGTTGTGCACGATCAATGTACAGTTGTGCGAGTGCGTGCATTGGGGTGATTCGTGTGATAAGGAATGATTACGAAGGATCACCACAGAGTGGTGACACCCTGTGCCCACACTCGCACCGCACACCATTATTCATAAATTTCGATGAGATGTATGTAATTCTGTTCATATTTTTTGTGTTGTTCGATTTCGTTTTGTCCTTGTTTTTTTTTTTGTTATTTGTCGATGGTGTCATTGTTCGTTTGTCTCTTGAGTTACCGTTACCCTGTTATTGTTGTAAATGTTGTTGCTGCTGCTGTTGTTGTTTTTGTTACTGTTCACGTGTATGTTTGTGTGTGTGCTTATGTATGTGGGAGAGTGCGCAGCAGAATGTCGGTCGGGCAATGGCCAAGTGTTCCACTGTCCTCCATTAGGAGCATTTCCTTTGACCGGCTGAAAGAGCACATTCACATTCACATTCACGTTCACATTCACATGCCTGGTCAGGGGCCAGAGGCCACAGGAGGTCCCATCATCCGTCACTCTAGTCAATGCAATTACAAAAACTAGATTAAAAGCCGAGCGAACAATAGCAGCAACAATGGATGGCCACACCAGGCACGCCAGCAGCATACACAGTGCATAGCCATACACGCTCCCACACACAATGCAACGCTGGAAAATAGTGTCAAAGCACTTTCGTTGCATACAGCCGGGCGCCACTGTACTTGAAATTGCAGTTGTGCTTTGCCTGTGTGTGCGTTTGTGTGCTTTTGCTTTTACTTCAACGAAATGATTTAACCACTGACCGAATTTCGGCTGCTGTTCTGTTTATGTGTTGTGATGTGTTGTGTTATGTGCCTGTATGTACGTATCGATAAGTGCTTGCTGACTTCGTTGTTGTGTTGCTTTCACACAGCTTATTCACATGGACACGGCACACACCCACACTCACGCAGATACACATACGCTGACAGCGACCAGCAGAAGGCCACAACGGCCGTTCTTTTTATACTCTTTCAGATGTGTGATTTTGAAGAGATATCATGTCCGTCCATATGTTTCAATCCAAACAAATAATACGAGTATTAAGATAAACTAACCCAAAAACACAACACTCTCTAGTGGCAAGTTATCGAAGGATATGTACATATATGTATATATCGATAGATAGAGTATCAAAAGCGTCGGCGCCCTAAGGCAGGCTGTTATTGTTGCTGTTGCTCCTATCGATGTGCAAAAGGAAGCTCGATAATTCGAATTCAACTACATATGTAGTTGCGAACACGCATAGACATGCACAGACTTGCATAGACATGCACAGGCAGGAATTTAATTTCTTATCTCCCATCAACGAATCTCATTTTAGTTATTTGTTTCGCTCAGTTGGTTTTGTCTTCGGTTTGTTTCCTTGGTTTTGTTTTATTTGCATTGCATTCGTTTTCGCCATGTGAATAACTGGGATTTATTTTGTGTCAATGTTGTTATTGTTGTTTTACAGAAAACTTTGCTTAAAAGTACAAAAAGTTGAACCATAAAGTAAGCATTAACAACAAGAAAAAAAAAACAAACCAGAACAAGAACAAGAACCCGAACCCGAACGAACAGAAGCGAAATCAGATCAAACAAAAATTTCGACAGCTGCCCTGACATCATCAGCGAAGGTACCGCCGACCAAGTTCCGAATATTCCCCCTCTCTCTCTCTCTCTCTCTCTCTCTCTTTGACTGACTCCCAGTCACTGCCTTTCTCTTTTTGTCTATAAATATACATACATATATTGTAGTTTCTCTAATACTACTATGTACTTCTACTACTAATACTACTGCTCTGCTACTTTCTACCAATACAATTACAACTGCAACATACAGAATAAGATACACTTTTAATGCTATTAACTTTGCTGCTCGTTCCTCCCTCCACCCCCCCGCTACACACTCGCAAGTTTGAAACTCTTGAGCTCCACAATTTCTTGTTGCAAGTAAAAGTAAACTCATTAACTTTGATGCACTTTGCTCCCCCCTCTACCCCTCTCCAAGCAGAGTCCGACGACGACGACGACAACCCTTTCCAGAACCAAATTAACTCCGAATTCCAAATGCATCGCTTAATGACTTATAACAATGCCTGCTTAAGATCCAGCCCTCCCTATAATCCCCGCAACCCACACCACACACCCCTGACCCAAACCCAGACTCAGACCCATACCTCTTAGCCTTCATATTCCTTTAAATGTACATATTGTATGTAGTCTTATAAATCTAATCGAACTTTTTCGAAATTATATTTTGGAATCGCATGACAAATGGAAATGATATAGCATTTCTTTGTTTGCTCGTAAAAAAAGGTTTATTAATTGCTCAGCTCTCCGTATAATTAATGGATTATATTGTTACGATTCTGGTTAGCCAAAAATGATATTATTCACATCGAGTTTTGTGTGTCATTTGGCTGTCCAGCCGGAAATCTTTTCAAGTCCCAAATGAAATAATTGCCAGATTGGTGCTTTATTTGAATGACATTAGATGACCTGAGTCTGACTATCTGAATGTGTATCAAATGGCTAAAACCGGCCAGATCTGATTCACAAAGGTCGTCTGAAAATCGTTTCGATTGACAGTGTACCATATTTATTATGGTCTTAGATACCAGAAACTGAGATATGTCGGATCCTAATATTATTAGTGAATCTCCAGAATTCACTACGAGACTGTGCGCAGTGTTATATTCCGTGGCTTTCTGTACGATTGTCCCATTGCTCCTTGTTTCGGTTCCAACTGTAGCCATTAGCGTTCTAGCTTTTGGAATAACTACATATATTTATTCCCCTTGCCTTATATTTCTTTGAAACCGTTTGCTTAATTTGTCTTAACAGTAGAATAAAACACTCAATAGGTATTTTAATGTATCCCAAATTACCTGCCCCCCGCCTAGTCGATACATTTTCAAACAGCAATCACAGATAAATGTAGTTCTGTTCAAATAAACTACCGCCCCGCCCAGAGGCTGCCTTTTGTGGACTGGCAGAATTGTAAACATTGAAGCACTAAAAATGGAAATTTTCGTAATTTGTTTACAGCGAAATGTGTGTGTGTGTGTTTCGAGTGGCATGTTTGGTAATTTGCTTTCAATTTTGTTTGATTTTGCCTGCCTGCAGCAGTTTCCAGCTAGCTCATGCGTCATTAAATATTGCATATTGAATTCATTTCCCTAAATATTTGCCAAAATCCATTTAAAAATAGTTCCCCCCGAGCTTGGTGCTCGGGTGGAGATTGGGGCCAGGTAATAGTTCTAAAGTTCATTCAAAACTAAATCGACTATGAAAAATAGGAGCGAAAGCAATTTGAGTTGCACATGTACATTTATACTAAGTTATGGCTACCAGTATGTATGTGTACTATATGTTTGTAGATCCCCCTATTTGGGGGCTTACAGCTTCCACTGATTTAAGATCGATAAATGAAGTGGCAGAATGCAGGCAGCGACGCAGCCGGGTCAATTAGGAACTTACGCTTAATGCCTTCAATTGGCTTTTGAATTATTAATTGAGGCATATTGTGAGTCGTGCTACTTCGACAGCCGCCTCGCTGTGCGGCCCCAAGGCTGGGCAGCACGTGCTCCACTAATCCCCCCGGCTGGAAGACCACTCCAATGCACCAAAGTTGACATTGGACAAGCAGCAGCCGCTTAGCTGAGGCTGTGGCTGTGGCTGTGGCTGTGCCCTTGCCGCAGAGCTTTCGTTTCGAGCCCCATCCATACAATTACTTAACAAGGTTGTCTTATTTGTTTGCTCAGCACCCAAAAATGGGGGACACTGGGGGGCGACTCGGACACCCGTTTCTCTGCAAGGAGTGGGAGAGGAGAGGGGCATATACTTTTGACTGCAGCACTTGACAGGTGGCAAACACTCGAAACCAAATGAAATGAAAAAAGCCATCAGATCAACGAGTGGAAAGCAGCAGCAGAGATTGCCTATCCAGACTATCCACAGATTTCATCTATGTATGTGCTGGGGCCTGCGGCCTGCCTCTCAGCGCTGGAATTCCCCGGGGGCCAAGAGCCCTCGATGCTTTTGCTCTGATTGGGCTGCTCTAACCGAAATGGACTTTCGGCCAGATTAGGTCTCAGATACACACACACACACACACACACACCCATAGCTTACGAACGGATGTGCACGACTGAGCTACTGAGCTGTCTATCTGTGAAGTGCACACTCATCGAGGGAGGGGGGGAGGGGGGTGCCGCATTGGCGTGCAAATATTTGAAATATATTTACTTGTGCTTACAGAAATGCCAGCTCCAATTCCGATTCCGATTCTGATTCCGATTCAAATGCAAATCCAGATTGAGATAATTGCGCCCATGGCGTGATGGGGGGAGCACCTAATTGACTGAAATTGATTTCACTCGATTCCGGCGGGGGGGGATTACGAATATACATATTTGCTTTACAACATTTGCCCTTCCCCATCCCTATCCCACTCCCCTCGATTTTTGCCATCGGGAGCCGGTCCCAAATCCGTACCCAGAAACATCGCGTACTGCTCGAGGCCCACACACACAAACACACACACCCACACTTTGGAGCGCTTCAATTGTTTTCCTTTTGTTCGGATCTACACACACACACACACACACACAGACATTGCGTCGAGGGTTCTGCTTAGTTCTGTCAACAATAGTTTTCCTTACGTTTCATCGCATTGATTGCCGCCCCTCCCCCGTCCCGAGGCACTGTGGGCCAAATCCGTTTCGCAGCGGAACAAACCATCATCGAATGCTTTTAGTATCCGCAGCTTCCGTTCTGCGCCACTGTAGTCGCCTTTTGCTCCCACGCTTTATCAGCCGGGTGGGTCCGCCTGGCGCAGCCTTATCTTATCGCCTTCGCTAGCTTTTAGGGCAAATTTGATTTAGAGTACTTCCGCCGCCGGCCGCCGGCCACCGGTTCAGTTCCATTTTGGGCACGCGCTCATACATACATTGTATATCATTCTGGTATCGGTATATCTGCATCTGCATCTGCATCTACGCTTGTATCTATGCCTCTGTAGCTATTTGTATCTATGTATTGCCTGGCATGCGTGCTGCTGTACATTAATTTAGTTGAATTTGTTCGCGCGATCTGAAACCAGATGAGCATGACCATTGTTATATAGATGTCTCTATAAATTGTATCACACATCGCGGGTAACATAGTGGGGCCTCGATGGCTGGACCAGAGGCGTGCAGTCTTGTCGTATTGTGGGCCGGATCGAGTGTCTACTGCATGATGAACTCACACGCACACACACACACACACATACACACATGCTCGTTGCGGGGAATTCGATCCTCCTCCGACTCCGCCTCCTCTCATGTTGCACAATCAATATCTATAATTAACAATTTTCTTTGTTTGTATGTCGCGGTTTTCCACACTGTTTCCTGCTCACTTAGCGTAGCACTATCACTGCCTCTGTCCACACCCCGTGTCCAGTACGAACCCCCCCCCATACCTCACCGCCCCGCCCCCAAATGCTGCACATATATCTGCCAATTCGAAATAGATAAATTTGTGTGTTTGCGGCGACTCTTGCCATTCGTTCCAGCATCATTTACCCGTTCTCATTCTTGTCTCCTCTTTCTTTCCGCCTCTCCTTCTTCTGTTTCTGCCCTCCTGCCGCCTCCGCCTCGGATGCTGGATTTTGCTGAGTCTAGAGCTAGCCGCGACAACTTGTACCCCGACGACCATCAGCAGCAGCAGCAGCCTCCGCAGCGCCACTCGCACTCGCACCAGCACTTGGTGCGGCAGTCTCTGACCAGTCTCAGTCACGGGCAGGCGTCATCCGGATCCGGGCCAGCGGGGGATGAGCAGCGGGCCCAGCAGCAGCAGCAGCAGCACCGTCATCGCAGCAGCAGCAGCCGGCTCTCGAGCGGCATCTCGAAGCAGAACTCCAGCGACAGCCGCAGTGGACTGCGCATCCTCGACAGCCACAGTCCGGTCAGCTGCGGCACGCACAGCGTGAGCAGTACTGGCGGCCACTCGGCGCTCTACGATGCCTGCCACGAGTACACGCGCAGCTTGAGTGCAGCTCCAACCGTTGAAGCAAGATCGGGAGCGGGAGCGGACGCATCGTTGCTGAAGGGACACTACAGTGATCAGCAGCTAGCACAGCCAGAGCCAGATCCAGAGCCGGACCCTGAGCGTGACAGGGATCGGGATCGTGATCGAGATCGAGAGCGGGAAAGACGCCATCTGACCAATCTCAATCTCAATCTGAACAGCGAGTACGACTACAGCGGCAGCGACAAGCAGCAGCTGGTGAACGAGACGTACATCTTCAAGTGCATCGCCAACAGTCCGTCGTTTCTGCGCACCAACAAGATCAAGGAGCAGTCCAAGAAGCTGCGCAACCTCTCGCTGAAGACGCGCACGGCCAAGAAGAAGGGCCAGATCATCTCCAAGTCGAACGCGGTGTCGGACAACTCGCTGCATCCGGGCGACAAGTACCTCAACTTGTATCTGGTGGAGAAGAAGCACTCGCTACAGCCGCAGGCCACATCCACATCCGCGTCCACATCCACGCCCAATCCTCACTCAGCATCAGCCCCGGCCAGCTCATCCTCATCCTCGACGGCGACGACTGGGCGTCCGCAGCAGCAGTCCCAACAGCTGCCAGCACTATCCGCGGTTGCCGCACGCCAGCAACAGCTGCTCCTCAACGGATCGCTGAAGAGCAAGACGAAGACCTTCCCGGCCTACAGAGCGTCCGTGAAGAGCGAGAGCGAGTATCGCGGGAGCGGCAGCAACACCATTCCGACGACGGGCAAGAGTCCACCGGTGCCGCACTCGCTGGCGGCCAAGATAAGCAGCGGCAAGAACTGCAATCTGCTGCAGAGCGCCGGCAACAAGCAGCTCAGCGTCAGCAGCAACTCATGCCACAAGCTGCATGCCCAAGGACACGGACACGGACACGGCCACTACGCGGGAGCACAAGCACACCATCTGGCCTCATCGCCCAAGAGCTCGGTGTCGAGCAACGGACACCTGAACAAGTACTGCCTGACAGACCTCACGCGCCGCAAGGCAGAGTTCAATCGCCAGCTGAGCGCCCCCACGGACTACACGCACCACTCCTCCAGCAACGGGTCCCAGCAGGAGGGTTCCTCCGAGGCGGCCAATGAGGCTGTGGGCGAGTCGACCATCACTGTAGCCAGTGCGGGAGTGCTTGGAAACGGCCACGGCTATCCTTACATCCATCAGGCCTCGGCCACAGCACCGGCCAATCTCAAGGCGTCGCTGCAGCTGCACAACTTCGGTGTCCATCATCCGTATCCGTATCCGTCGCGTCCTACGTCCACCTCGTGCACGAACAGCTTTAACCGACGCCACATACGACGGCACAAGAGCAAGCTTGGCGAACGGTGAGTACTCATAGTGCTGTAGACCCCCCACAAGCCCATCCCATAGCTAATAGATTGAGAGATCCATTGCCATTGCTCCAAAACTTACAAGTGGAAAATTACGCATGCAAAGCGCTGCCACAGTCGCGACTCGCGAGACGACTGTCTCTTACCGGTTTTTTCTGTGCTGGTTACTGGTACTGGGCTTATCGCCGCTATTTGCATAATGCCATCTCTGCCCGAGTCTGGGCCTGGCTCGTGTTGGTCGCGGCTCAGTCCGCGCAATAAGCTTCTAAATGGCCGTCGAGCAGTGAACTTTATTCGAGCGGCGAACCCGCACCCGCGATTAAAAGACAACGCAGCAAAGGATTTGGTTTCTGGTAGCTATCGATTAGCGATAAGCGACTAGCCAACGATATTAGTCGAGTATCGAGTATCACGTATCGAGTATCGCTGGCAAGGGCGGAAAACGGGAAATTCCTTTTTGTGAACGATGCGGAAAACTAGCTTCATTATCATACCGATTCGATTCTGCCCGGCAACGGCAACTGGCCAGAATAAACAGCAAAGTCAATAATATTTGTAATTTATTGCACCAGATCAGCAACGAGCGAGAGAGAGAGAGAACGCGACGCGACGCGAGGCGACCAAGACCCAGACCCAGACCTAGCGTCTGGCTTCGCTTCCTTCTTGCCTTCTTGCCATCTCCGCTGACCAGACAGATAGCAGGGCAGGGCAGAGCGGATCGGATCGGAGCGCATACATTTGCATGAAATCTAAACGAAATTCTCGAATCGAATCGAAACGTATCGTATCGGATCAGAACGGATCGGATCGGATCGTTTGTTTGTTTATGTTTCGCTTTCAAATAGTTTGCCGGATCGTTGTGTTCTGTGGTGGTGTGTGCTTTTATTGGCATCAATTTCTGCGAAGAATCCAGCCATAATTTGCGTCGCCGCTCGTCTTGTCGCGCCGCGAAATCAATTAAAAAGCTACACAAATTCTTTATTTATTTATTGTGCAACAGCGTCGCGGGGTTCAGAACAGGTTATCAAGTTGTCGTCGCAGCAGCAGCAGCAGCCGCAGCCGCAGCAGCAGCATCCAGCGGCAGCCCAGTCTCAGCTTCAGCTCCAGCTCCAGCCTCTGCCCCTGACGAAACAAAAAACAGAAAAACTATAAACAGTAACAGTAAAAGGCAACGGGAAATCAGAAGAGAAGAAACTATCGCCAAGTGCACAAGCTGGTGTCAATCTCTCAATTATCTCTCATTTAATTAGACAATTGCCAGCCAATTTCGGTCTTTCTGCTCTCTCGAAACGACTGCATCATATCCCGATCCGATCCGATACGACCCGCTCCGATCCGATCTGGATCGCCAGCAATTGATGTTCGAGGTAATACTCGTCTCGTCGTACAATCGAAAGCAAAGTGTCTCTGTCTGCGTCTGCGTCGGCGTCGGCGTCGGCGTCTGCATCTCCGTCTCTCGCGATCTCCGTATCCGTACCGTACCTCCCGCGGCTTCTCGAGGACGCCCGAAGGCGATCCCGAAACGACGCTCGGCCACTCGGAGTGCTCTGCCGGCGTTGGCCGGCCAGCTGTGAGCACTGTGCTCGGCCCGTGCCGCCGCTAGTCGCACAAAGATTGCCGCTGTAACAACGTGGAGTACTCATAGAACCGAACCCCATCCCATACTCGTCCAGCCTAGTCCCCGCCAACACCCTATATGTGTAAGTCGTCGTTAAATCAGAGACAAAACATCTGCTGCGGCACGTTTCCAGTTGCCAACAGAACGGCAGAAAAAAAAACACACAGTGAAAACAAAAAAAAAAACCAAAAAAATGTAAAAAAATGTAAAAAACAGACAGTGAAACCACAATTAAGAATCGTAACGTAATCACCAATTTATGTGTAATCCAATATCTGGGAAATGTTAGAGCTCGTTCTGCGGTTGTTCTCAACGGTCTGGTCTGGTCTGTTCTGTTCTGGTCTGCCTTCCGAATCATGATAACTAATAAATTCATTAGGGCGAAGATTAAATTAAATCAGCTTCATTCATCAGGCTTAATTAAAATGAAACTTTCCCATTTCGAAATATAAAAACCACCATCAATTGAGTGTGAAGAGGCGCAAAAAGTACAAAAAAAGTACAAATGCCAAAGTGAAATAATAATAATAATAGAAATAGAAATACATACAAATGCGATTACGAGTCCGAAACCGAATACGACGTATGAATAACCGTAACATTCATAGCCCCCGACCCGACCAGGGTAACGTAACTGCACGCGTCTCCGTCTCCTAACAATAGATCCGCGCTGAATACCACGCGATTTGTCGTTCAGTCTCCCCCGCTGCCACTGCCACTGACTGCCAGCGACGCGACGGTGCTCCAAAAAACGCAAGCAGAGCAAACAACAACATTTCCACAGCGTCGTGCGGAGTGGGAAGTGGGGAGTGGTGGTGGTACCGGTGCCGGTGCCGGAAAACCTTGGCAATCAGCATCGAATGGGCCAGGCAAACCCAGACCAGACCAGACCAGACCAGGCGCACTCTCTGTCGCACTCTACTTTGTTAAACCTTGCAACGTGCGTGTGGCATAATTAAAAACGACAAAAAACGACATAAAGGAACAAAAATAACCGGCGTGCTAACCTACCCCACCCCAAACCACCTTGACATCCCGCGTATAGTGTGGAGCATACTTTCACTTTATCTCTGGGGACCGCGACCTTATGGGATCATTTTCAACGGAATACATTCAGGAAGTGATTTTCCAGGGCTTTAGTTATGTTTTATGATAATCGGAATTAAGTGTTCAAAGTTAACATTGATATTCTGTCTGTTTCTGAGAACTCTAGAGCAGTCCGAGGAGCGGGAATGTAATACAGTTGGCGGGAATTCCACAAAGTATTTTTCGAAATATTCGGGTCGGATGTCTCTTTCGCGTATTTGGAGAGTTTTGTTTAGAAAGAATTCCAGCTAAAATGAAATCTGAGGAGCGTTCATTATATGGTCGGCATGTCGACCATATGCCGCTCTTATATATATGTACTACATATGTATGTGTATGTGTTCAATATATTGTAACAATGTTCCCCTCCCCCCTTTCAGTTTGCTGAGCGGCGATAGTGAGGAATCGGTGCGCTGCTCGTACTGCTCCGTCTTGAATGTGAATGAGAACGATTTGCGAATTTCGTTTGAAAACACCTGCACCGACTCGCTGGTCACCGCTTTCGATGATGAGGCACTGCTAATATGCGACCAAGGAACCGAAATGGCAAGAGCAAAGGTTTTATTTGTAATATTTGCACAGGACTGATCACGCACATATAACACAACATATACTATACCCGCCATTAACAGACTATAGACTGTAGACTGTAGACTCAGGCAAATTGCGAGAGATTCTGGATGTATTTGATTAATGGTTTTTGTACGCCTCCGCAGGTACACTTTGATGACGTGTCGTTGTACGGCACTCCGAAAGAGGAGCCGATGCCGAACATACCGATCGTGTCGGAAAAAGTCTCTGCGAATTTCCTAAAAAGTCAATTGCAATCATGGTTCCAGCCGACGGACAATCGTTTGGCCATGAAACTATTTGGCAGCCGCAAGGCATTGGTCAAGGAGCGCATACGTCAGAAAACTTCCGGTCATTGGGTCATACACCCGTGCAGTTCATTCAGGTGAGTTGTGCTCGGATGAGGGATTAAAAAGATCGTTTAATGGTTGTGTTATCCTTTTGCTAATCTGTATTCAAATCTGATTTGATCTGATCGACAGGTTTTACTGGGACCTTTGCATGCTTTTATTATTAGTAGCAAATCTTATTATCCTGCCAGTCGCAATATCATTCTTCAACGATGATCTGAGCACACGATGGATTGCCTTCAACTGCCTAAGTGATACTATTTTTTTAATAGATATTGTAGTCAATTTTAGAACAGGTAATGCACATAATCATCTTACGAACCTACTACTACTACTACTACTATCCACATATGTATGTAAATAACCCTATTCCGGACACTCACCCACCTCGGGCTGGTTCAGGCCTCGAGCCCGAGTGGTTGTGGGTTGTGGTTGTGCTTCATTCTGTTTTGTTCTAAACAATGATGTGATCTCTCGCCCCGAATGTTTCTTAGGAATTATGCAACAAGACAACGCTGAACAAGTAATATTGGATCCAAAGCTTATAGCTAAACACTATTTAAGAACTTGGTTTTTTCTCGATTTGATTTCGTCGATACCGCTAGATTATATATTTTTAATTTTCAATCAAGTAAGTGTCCATGTATTTTGAGAAGCAGTACGCAACACATTGATTAAGATTATGAAATTGCAGGATTTCTCTGATTCTTTTCAAATTTTGCATGCCGGACGCGCCCTGCGCATCCTGCGCCTAGCTAAACTACTCTCCCTCGTCCGCCTGCTCCGGCTCTCCCGCCTCGTGCGCTACGTATCCCAATGGGAGGAGGTCTATGTGAGTACTCACGGCTACATTTTGCCAAACGTTTCGAAACGTTTCTCGTTACCGTTTCTACTATATTGTTTCGGTTTGCATAACATATGTATGTATGTATGTACGATGTATGTACGATGATATTTCATTACTTTACCCTACCCTACTTTCTTGATTTCCTTTTGTAATGTCTTTACAATGCCATTGTACGATATTACATATCATATGCATTATGTATTATGCATTATTATATGTATGTATGTACGAGTATCTCTGATTCCTGAGTTTCGTCATTCACATTTTAGTTCCACTTTGAGTTAGAGTTTCAGTTTCCTTTTCCGTTTCCGTTTCAGTTTCAGTTTCCTTTTAAGTTTCCTTTTCAGTATCCTTTTCGGTTGCGACCCAATTCTCGACCGTAAGATCAGCATACTCGCAAAATACTACTCCTTACTCGTTCACTCGCCACCACACCACAACAGATTTCGATTTCGAGGATCTAGGATCTGTGTATGTGTAGGTTCCCAGTGACACAGATGTCACCTAGCACAGTCGTCAGGGCACGGCAGGGCAGGGCAGGGCAGGGGTCGATGGTCAGGGGACTAGTCCACGAAGTGCTCACTTTTCTTTGCTGAATGAATATGTGTCACATACACATGCGTGCATCCATCCGCATGTATTGTATATCCGTAAAGAAATGTTCAAACTATGTACGATACTATTTTATTTGAAATGTTTTCTGGAAGCTCTGTGTCTTTGATTTCCGTTTAAAACCTTATGCGTTCGATTATTTACCAAGTAATATGAAACTTTTTCTCGTACCGTTCCACCTCCTAACCGTAATACCGTTTAAATGTCTATTAAGCCGAACCGAACGAACATAGAACCAAAAAATCAGACAGACAGTCGTTGTACCATAATCCTCAACTCAGTTTGTATATTATACAATTGTCAATTGTGTATTGTATCCCATCCCCCCCTACCAATGATGTTTGTTTCGTTTCGTGTTGTGCGCCTGCTGCGCTTCGAGTCCCAGACCAGATCCATCCAAAATCCCGCCTAGGCCAAAATACTGCAAGAACACACACACACATCCTATCTATGACACATTCAAACAAACACTACACACACATAACAAGCATAAATACACACACAAATCGAACCGAATCGAATCGAATCGAATACTTATCCTTTGACCATCTAACGCTCTCTAAGGCAAGCTTGAGGACTTCACGGGAAGATCCCCCTTTGCTTTCTTTCCACATTTCTTCTGTTGAGTCTTCGATTTACCGCTTCTGTTGATCTGATATTCGATTTTCTGTTCATTTCTTGCTGACTTTGAAGCACTCAAACCAATTCTTCATTGCACTTTGTACAACTTCTTTGAATCGAAGGACATCTCCGGCACTCTCAGGTGTTTAAGGAATGTCTTTGACTCTCTCTCCTCTCTATCCCCGCTCTCTCCCCGCTCTACCCTCTCTCCCATCTCTCCGAAGAATAACCCCAATCCAATCCAAACCCTAGACCCCACTCCACCACACCTCACCCCCGTTTTGAGATACGTACAAATACAGTTTCTTAAAGGATATACCAAGCCTAACTTGGTAACCCACATACCTTATGATTTATGTTTATTTTGTTTTTGAACCGCTCAACGGAAGCGATGAAAAGAAAAGAAATGAAATGTTTACCAAAAAGTATCCAACAAAGAATTGCCAAATGAAAATGAAAATGAAAACGAAAATCAAAATCAGATTAAGATTCCCAGTAAAGAGATCAAAAATGAAATAAAAATAAATTATGTATACAAAATCCAATAAGCTGAATCAGGGCCTAAAATACCTGTGTATATATATGGTTTTTAGATTCTGCAGAATCTACAGAAAAAAAGTGCTGATCGCAGAGGGAGAATGCACAGAAAAGACAAAGATGGCTTGACAAAAAGCAACCTAATTCTCAAGGTAAACCACCATCCAATAAAAATAACAAACAAAAATCAAAAATCAACAAAACACAACAACTTCAATATACATTCGTTGGTAAAAACAAAAAAAAAAACAAAAAGCCTTGATTGATTCCAATTATAATTATGTATTATCGGCGCAACATGACTCACTTTTGAGGAATGTTTGAGCCATTCAAATTCAGTTTTAGTGCATCATTTCGTTCGTTCGATTGTTCGATTGTTCGTTGATCATGTTTGCTTGATTTTATCGTAATGTTCGTTCGTTCGTACGTTCTGTAAATTTTCTGAGACTGCCTTTTTATATACACATTGATTGATTGATTGATATTGACATACATATTCTCTATTTCTCATTTGATGCATAAACAGTAAAAAAACAAAGAGAACAAATGCAGTAATCGATAATATCTAGCGCTGAAAATCGATAGCAAAATCTTCGGTCCGTAATCGAAGCTCTTTCACGCTCTTCACACGAATTGGGTGGGATAATGTAATATTACTCTCGCCTGAGGAAACATTAGATAGCGTAGATTTTGATTCCATGCATGGGCATGCCACTGAAAGTATAGTCCTCTATTCTAGCGATGTGAAGAGCCTGAAAATATGACAGATCACAGGAGAAATCAATCTGAAGCGGTGTTTTCCACAGTGAAGATCAATGCTTTTTGCTTTACGACTATATACATATATCCAATATATCCATTGAAGTAGAGTAGCAGCCTCACCAGCTAGTCTGTTGATCCCACTGTAAAAACGCCCATAAGCTGCACCATTAGAAAGTTTTTGTTGTTGCTGCTGCTGCAGCTGCTGCTCTTGCTTCTGCACCGCATTGCCACATACCGGACTACGGATTATGGATTACAGATTCCGAAGCCCAGGCTCAGACATCACATAAAACACATACGCACACAGACGAAGTAGTCAATCAATAAATCTGCAACAGTTGTGGGATGATTGTATGCTGATTGCCTGAGGCTGAGGCTGAGGCGGGCTAACAGATCAACAGATCAATCAGATCGAACACGAACACTGTACTATATATCTAGCCACGTAATACTCGTATTCTATAGCATACATTTGCGGGCCCATGCCGAAACGCTTTCTACATCCTAAGCCTATCGTATCGTATCTATCGTACTCAACCTAACCTCTCACCTTTAATCGACACTCTGCTCAATGCTTTCTGCTTTTGTTTGGCGCCATTTTTGTGCTGCGCGCTTTCCTGCTCCCCCACTCTGTACTCTCTCTTTATCACTCTCTCTCTCTCTCTCTGTCAATTACTTTTAACAGACACCACTGTACTGCTACCGTTGCTACTGCTGCTACTGTTTCTACTGTTGTTTTTGTTTCTGTTTCTTTTCTGGTTATGGTTTTTTGGTTTACTCGCTTTGATTTGTACTTTTGGTTGTGTTCTCCCCTCCCCTCCCTTTCTTCCTGTTTTTGTTTCTGTTGTACAAAGGATTTCAGCAAAAGCGCGTCGTAACGGTTTCTGTAAGTGTCCGAAATACGCACACACACACACGCACACAGAAGCTGATTTCTTGAATGCAACTCTGCTCCTGCTCTCTTTCTCTCTCTCTCTCTTCCTCTATATTTGTTATGATTTTGGTTGGTTATGTTCGTTTGAAATTTGTTGTTGGTTTGTTCGTTTGTTTTTTTTAAAAAACTACTACTTTTGTACAGAAATTACGTAGTACAAATACTAACAACTGAGAAAGTCAGAGCCAACAAACGCTTTCATTGTAAAATACCCAGTTTCGTTTTCAATAATTTGAACGTTTGAACGGCTTTAGTGTTGAAAACAAATACACACAAAACAAAAAACAAAAAAAACAACAAAAACTACAAAAACCAAAGTAAAGATGGAGCACCTTGTACCATAATTTAGCAGCTGATTTTGCACTAATTTCGAAACGTAGAAATGGTTTGAATTTGAATTTGAATTGAGTTTGGATTGATTGCTCAGGCTGTACACTGTACACTGGACACTGTTGCATTGCCTAACATTAGACTAATCTTATCTTATTTTACCTTATCAGCAGATGTACTACTCCTTTTATTATATATTGATAGCGAGTTCTCGACTGCGTCTATGACTGCGTTAAGGTCCACCTCCTGCCTCTGCGACTCTCCCGATTTTGAATCCGATCTGAACGGATCTGCTCTGCTACAATCTCTGATCTCTAAGGATATCTGAGGGCAGAGCAGAGCCGGAAAGGGGAAGTGTGCAGTTGCAAGATATGGACTGGATCTAGACTGCGTAAATTCTTGTTTAATGGCTGTGGTTTTTCGATTTTGTTTTAGTTGCTTTGATTGGCATAACTGCAATAACTGTTATATTTAACGGTAGCTGGAAGCTTAAGCTAAAGTTCACCAAATACGCAAATTCCAACAATGTTCCCAATGAGTTCTATTCTTTGTTTGGGTTTTCTTTCCCGTTTACCCGAGACATTTGGTTTGCCGTACCGTTTGAATTTGTTTAAATGTGAAACTCACTCAAGATGTAACACGCACACACACAGATACACACAAACACTGACACACTTACACCCACACACACAAACACATTAGTGAGCGGTGTCGGACCTCTCTGGTTGATTGGTGGCACTCTATCTGATTGTAAACTCTGGTTACAGTTCCTCAATATGGCCTCGGTGTTCATGAGGATCTTCAATTTAATTTGCATGATGCTCTTGATCGGACACTGGAGCGGTTGCTTGCAGTTCTTAGTGCCAATGTTGCAGGGTTTTCCATCAAACTCCTGGGTATCCATCAACGAGTTGCAGGTGCAGTACAACCCCATCGTGAATCGGTGAACCGGTAATCGAGCAGAGTCGGTCTATCGGGTGGCTAATTCGATTCGATTTCAGGAATCCTACTGGCTGGAGCAGTATTCGTGGGCATTGTTCAAGGCTATGTCGCACATGCTGTGCATTGGCTACGGCAGGTATGTGTCTCATACCAAATCCACTCCCACTCTTTTCGTGATGAAAACTTTAATCATACGTTCTATTGTTGCAGATTTCCACCTCAATCACTGACAGACATGTGGCTGACCATGCTGTCGATGATATCCGGCGCCACGTGTTACGCATTGTTCCTGGGTCATGCGACCAATCTCATCCAGAGCTTGGACTCCAGCAGGCGGCAGTACCGTGAGAAGGTCAAACAGGTGGAGGAGTACATGGCCTACCGCAAGCTGCCGCGCGACATGCGACAGCGCATCACGGAATACTTTGAGCATCGGTACCAGGGTAAATTCTTCGATGAAGAGTTGATCCTTGGCGAGTTGAGCGAGAAATTGCGCGAGGATGTCATCAACTACAATTGCAGGTGGGCGATCTGTGACCGGTCCAGTCTATTCCTTCTACTAGATTTACATTCAGCCGTCGAGTCGTCGTCGAGTTGTTCTTCCTCTCTTGTTGTGTTCTCTTGCATCTCAGTCTGTTGTATTACAATCGTTCTCCTTTCACCTTTCACAGATCCCTCGTGGCGTCAGTGCCTTTTTTTGCTAATGCCGATTCGAATTTCGTTTCCGACGTAGTTACTAAACTGAAATACGAAGTTTTCCAACCAGGTGATTGATCCAAAGTCTGTTCTAAACTGTCCCACTCTTAACGTTCCGGTCTTTCAGGTGATATTATCATAAAGGAGGGTACGATCGGTACAAAAATGTACTTCATTCAGGAGGGCGTGGTGGACATTGTCATGGCCAACGGCGAGGTAATGCCCTGCCTGCCCAGACCGCATATCGCAGAAGATGTAGCTAATTCTTTGTCTGATTCGCAGGTTGCCACCTCACTATCGGACGGTTCTTACTTCGGTGAGATCTGTCTGCTGACCAATGCGCGTCGTGTGGCCAGCGTGCGAGCCGAAACCTATTGCAATCTATTCTCATTGAGCGTGGATCATTTCAATTGCGTGCTGGATCAGTATCCGCTGATGCGCAAGACCATGGAGACTGTGGCCGCAGAGCGGTTGAACAAGATCGGCAAGAATCCAAACATAATGCAGCAGAAGGACGAACAGCTGAGCAATCCCGAGTCGAACACTATCACGGCCGTGGTGAATGCCCTGGCTGCCGAGGCCGATGAATGCAAAGATGAGTAAGTGTGAAATGACCATGTGATCTGACTTGCATCGTTCTGTATTCCTTTCCTTCCTTACCATTCTAAGCAGTGACATGGATCTCAAGGAGAATTTACTGCATGGGTCAGAGTCGAGCATTGCTGAGCCGGTTCAAACGATACGCGAGGGTCTGCCCAGGCCTCGGAGCGGGGAGTTTCGAGCCCTGTTCGAGGGCAACACCCCATGACACTGAGCCGAGGCGATGGCGATGGCGATGACTATGACGAAGACGATGACGATGGTGATGAAGAGCGGTGCGGGCGGGCATCGGGCATCCATCTGAAAGGCAATTTTGCAGGACACACACTCACCCACACACACAGCCACATACACAAAACACCACTCACACACACACATGCGTATATAATAATTTAGTAAATGAAACCCCAAGAAGCGATAAGAAGAGTACACTAAAAAGAATCAATTTACGGTAGACACTCTATATATGCAATTGCGATTTAGTAGAAAACATTAAAAAAAGACAAAACAAAAAAATCCAAAAAAAGAACAAAACAATTACACAAAAATGTCCTCAATAATTATTCATAATTTCAGCTCCGCTAACTGTGATGACTTTAATATAAGAATCGAAAAAAAAAACAATTACATACAAATATAAATTATATGATAGAGAAGAAACTCAGCAGACAGATCCGAATCAGAATCAGATCCACACAGACCTAGCCCACATACCGCAATAGAAGAGTTTGCCACACACACATACACACACAAAAACACATGCAACCAACAACAACAAAAATACAGACACAGAGAGAGACATACCTTATAGGGAATCTACATTTAAGTTTTATGCCCACGATATTGTAATGATTACGAAGTGAGTAGACTTTTGTGAATTGCTACAGCGTTAGTCCTATGGACCTACTACAGAACATACATACACCCACACCGACACCCACACAGAGACAGACACCAACCACACCTGTAGATTGTAGAGTGGAACAGGGTAAGAGACAGTCGAAATACAGACCGACTGACCAACAGATCCGCAGACACGCATCAACTTATGATATAAAGAAACGGAGCGAATCGTGAAGGCATACCAAACACACATATTTATGCGCGTAGCTATTATGTACTCGAGCAACCAACAAACAAACAAACAAACAAACAATTATGTATTATTGCGATTATATAGCATATTTAAATACGCATTGCAAAATGGAAACAACATAACTCAGCAATATACAAGAAAACAAAATGTATTTAAGCAAGTTTAACGAATGCGCATTAGTAGTTGAACTATTAGTTTTTCACTCACTAACAAAACAAAAAAACAAACAAACAAATAACACCACTCGACACACAACGTAGTAGAGAAGCCTCAACAAAAAATAAAAACAAAAAACAAAAGAAGAATACGAGTATATTCAAAAGAAAACCAACCTCAGGGTGCCGTCGTTTCAGCGGTCCCCAACCGACAAAAACAAAAAACAAAAGAAGGAAGAACAAACAAGAAACCAACTATATACACGACATATATATACAAAACATAGACATTGTTGTCTTTTATAGGGAATTGTTATAAAGCCTCAGTTTCGGTTATATTTCAATTATGTATTTATTGCCGCCTGCCGCTGGTCAGGATCATAATTTTCCATTGATTCAGAATTTCCGTTCAGGAATACAATAATATTTGGTTACGAGCGTGAGTTCTCAACGCAAGTGGTTCGTCTTTGAGTCGTCCTTGTTTGTCATACTTTCAAGCATAAATCAGGCAAAGGACGGCGACTTGTCGGGGGATTTATGTAACTTAGTATTTTATTACACGTAAATAATAAAAAGAAAAGCAGGACAGCGTTTGCCTTAAAATTAAACAAACGGTTCGTTTCATTACAAACTACAATAATTCTGGATTAAGAAACAAATTTGACATTCCATGTCGAAAAAAAAAACAAAAAACAAAAACGAGATAAGATATAAATGTTAGGTAATTAATGTAAAAGAATTGTCTGCTAAGCCGTCAAGCGGCGACGCACCAAGCCGGAGTCTATCAGCGAAAGGTTCAAATTTACATAATCTTCATCGACGAGCACCATATACGCTATGTTGTTCTGAAACATATACATTTTTATATCTATCAACTTATTCGGTTAACATCCTACCTTGATGGCCTCCACTTTTCCGAAGAGTCTGCGGTTGTACACTTGATGTTTGAATGCGCTGACAACCTTCGATGGCCAGTGCAGACTTTTAACCGGAGACACATAAGCCAGGCGCCCCTCCATTCCTTGCGGCGGCATATTAGCGAATTGTTCCATTAAAAATTTAACGTCTTTTTTATAGACGGTATCGACAATGCCCGTATCGATTAACTCTACCTCGATTGTCTTTCGTACATTGTCGGTACGTTGGCTGACAATCTTGGCGCGTTCCCACACCGATGTATTGCTGGGACAGACAACACACAGATGGCCGGGTGTCAACAGGTACTTCGGCATCGTGAACGTCGTTGAAGCCAAGTCTCTGTAGAATTTCCTGCAAGAAGAAACTGCAAGTAAGAGAAACTCAGCAACAAAAAAAGCGTTTTCCTTACTGGATGTTGTGCGACAAGGTATGATATAGGTCGTAGTCGTCGAATATCCAGAAGTGGAAACTATGCGGATCGGTCACCTCCACAAGCTGTAGGCAGTAGCGCTCATCCACTTTGAGAGTTTTTTCCAAGTCGAGACGAGACAACTTGTAATCGGAGCGAACCGCGTCGCGCGGATAGTCGACACTGAGAACACGGTGATCCTACAAGAGAAGAGAAGCAACCTCTAAGCGAAATATAACATTGCAAAATAGTTGTTGAAACTTTACCACAGCATACGCTGGAAAGGCATCAGTATCTTTGCAATCATCGCTGGAGGAATCGTATACGTCGGACACAGCCACTTTCGGCTTGGCGAGTTCAAGCACAACACGATCGGGTTCCCCCAGCTCTACTACTGGTTCTTCTTCAGGCGCACTGACATTAGGTAGCGCTTTATGCTCGTCAGAGCTGTAGGGTTCGGTGGGCAGTTGCTTCGCTTCGGACACTGGATCTTTTTCAGGCACCGTGACATTCGGTAGGACTTTATGATCGTCGGACCTGTAGGATTCGATGGGCAGTTGCTTCTCATCAGTCACAGTTCTCTCCTGTTTCTTCACCTCACCAGTTGGGACATTATCATCTTTAGCAAGTGATAGATTATTGAATGAATTCACTATGGAATCAAAGCGCGCAGACGGAGCGAGCTCTCGAGTTGGGTTGCGTATTGGCGGTTGATTTTGTATTGCAGTCAAAGTGTGCCTTGGTGGGTGTGGACGCTGATCTAGATTTGGATTTCGGATGGGTTGCAGATAGTTATGCATGTTATGCATTCTCTGCGGAAGAACGGGTTGATTGAAACTCGGACGCACTCTCATTTGAGGGCGATTGAAATCATTCATTGGATAATTGGTTTGGGCGTTCTTCCAGTGACAGTAAGCAGGAGGCTGCTGGAAGGCGGGATTAAAGAACTGCCCGTTTGGGAGCAGCACAAGTGGATACATTTGCGGCCGAAACGTATTGACCGGATTGTGCATCTGCACAGACGAGGCCTTACTTACAGACTCGTTGATAAAACCCAAATTTGATGGCTTCGGGTTATACAAAAACGTTTGCTTCTGTCCAGCATGAAATTTTGACTTTCTGGATTTAATCTTCTGGCGGCTGACGAATTTCTGAATGTGCGCCGACTTTGCAGTTGCCAGTGGATGGACAAGAGCCATAGGTCCAGATCCGATCACCTGTTGATTGAATGTGATTTGAACATTAGTTTGATTATGCACAAGAGTCCTACGAAAACATGGCTTGATTCATACCGTAACGACGTCTGGAATGGAGCGGAGAAAAGTTTCGACGTCTCTGTGGCCGAACTGCCGATGCGGCACTTCTGAGCCCTCCATCTCCTTGTAGTCGCGACTTAGTTTTTGGATCGTCATTATCTCCGGCGACGACACCAGCACAGAATGCACAATCTTCTTTACGAGGCTGAGCTGTTCACGTGTATCCATATTGAGAGCCAGCACAATAATTAAGCACAAAAACCGCCCAAAATTAAATGATAAGCGCTACTATTGTTTACTTTAAACTTTACTTTCAAAGCTGTTTTTCCCGTTGTTTTCTATTCTTTTGTGCTAGTTTTTAAAGGGACGCGCTTGGAAACTTTAGAAATAACTGGACTTCCATTCGAGGTTGCCATATGGTCTATTTAGTTAGGGCTGCCAGCTCATGTAAATTGTAAAGATTTTTTTATCTTAGTACTCGTCTGCTAAATTCCTGGGTTCTAATACAGAAAGATGGTTTGTGACATCTTTATACTCTATAGTTAGTTAGTGGTTTTGTATATTAAGAACTACATCTATTCCATCAAATGTCTGGCAGCACCCAGGTTCCAAATATCGAAAGATAGATTATATCGATACTTGTTCGTAAACTTACGATATTTCAAACCAGGTTAAAAAAAATATATTTTCAGTATATTTACGGTATATTTTTAAGATGAGACCGAATGATTAACCCATTGTAAGCCAAGGGGGTGTTTTAATGTTATGTTCCATGATATAGAATTGAGAAAATGTCTGTCATCCCAGCCAAAAAGAATTGTTGAAACCGTGTTTTTGTCAAAACAAAAATCATGCATGTACTTAAAAGTAGTTAATCCTGATTAAAATTTATTCATCTGTCAAACAAAATTATCTGGGCAAAACTGAGAGATCTATATAGCTGGGAATATTCGACGGAAGAAAGAATAACCAGGAATTAGTCGTCATAACCGGTTGACAACAATGATTGCCGGCAACATTTGTTTTCATACCCTTGGGAAATGGATATGAAGAGTTGAGTAAATGTTTGTCATCCCAGGCTCCGTAGATATTAGGATCGAGATAACTATGCACAAGATACTAATAATGTCTAAAGAATATCGATTTGAGAAAAGGTCTTTATAAATTACGTTTCGTCTTCATATCAAACTAACGGAAACATTGCGATGTCTTTTTTTGTTGAACTATTTTGTTTTAACCTTGTTTTAGAAAAAATATAATAAAAGCAAGGACTAAAAATTAGCCAGTTAAGTATAAAATTGATTAATCAATGGCATACAATTATGTGGGCAAAACTAAGGGTTTTAGTTAGCCAGCATTATTCAACGGAATATCCGAATTGAGCAATATGGTTTTCAACCCTTGACGTAGAATGATTAACCCATTGTAAACCAAGGGGTGTTTTAATGTTTCACCGAAAAAATTGCAAATTTTATAACTTCAGGGCAGTTTGAAAGATATCGAGTTTTTTTTAAGCTCAGAACACAGATGGCATGGATCTAAAAGAAAAACTTACAATCCGTAATATTTTCCGTCAAATAGAGGGGGCTTATGTGGGCTAAGTTCGATTTCTTATCGATATACGAGACGTCAGACTTCTCTTTCTTTTAACTTCCTGTTCCCGAACGCTGCAAAATGTCGAAGAGAGGTACAAACTATAAAAATAATCCAATTAAAGCGCCTTAAATATGGGCCATCCGCGTAAAACGAATGTGCAACGAGCATAAGTGTAGAGCAATGAAGTGGTTTGACTAATTATTTGTGCTTTTCGTTGTTTAGGACGTGGTGGTACCGCGGGAGGTAAATTCCGCATCTCCCTAGGTTTGCCTGTTGGCGCCGTCATGAACTGCGCTGATAATACTGGTAAGTGTGCATGAAAATAATATCGCATCCGAATGGCGTCCGCTAATGCCCAGCTTCTTTGTTGCATTCCAGGTGCCAAGAACTTGTATGTTATTGCCGTGCACGGCATTCGTGGTCGTCTGAATCGTCTGCCTGCTGCTGGCGTCGGTGACATGTTTGTGGCCACCGTCAAGAAGGGCAAGCCAGAGCTGAGGAAGAAGGTGAGTTTTTGCATTGCAGTTTCTTCGATGCACGGTGTGTGAGAAATGTGCTGAGCTGCAAAGTGGAACCACTTTCAGTGAAAATGTTTTGAGCCGGCATACTAACGCACACCTTTCGTCGAATGCTCATGTGGTTTGATTTATTTGCTGGTTACTGATTTGTGTTTCATGTTCTCTTGTAGGTAATGCCTGCCGTGGTGATCAGGCAGCGCAAGCCGTTCCGCAGGAGGGACGGGGTGTTTATATACTTTGAAGACAATGCCGGGGTCATAGTAAACAACAAGGGCGAAATGAAGGGGTCGGCCATCACCGGGCCTGTGGCCAAGGAATGCGCTGACCTGTGGCCCCGTATCGCATCGAATGCAAGCTCTATAGCCTAAGGAATTTCCTTAAAAATAAACCCATAACGGAACGAAGTTTGTTTTCACTTAAGAGTTGTCGGATCTTTTATTCAATGGACTGCTGTCGCAGCTCTGGAGGATGTATTCGCGAGTGTTCGACTCTGCCTATTACTTGGGCGCTTCGGTGCGCAGCGTGGGCTTCGGTCGAGTCACCTCCATCGATATCTTTCCATTGGCGCCCTTGAAGAGTGCGTAGCACACCTGGAACGTGAGCCCCTCCAGTGCATCGCCATTGAACTTGGTAATGATGTCTCCACGTTGCAGCTTGCTGTCGATCTCTGGATATTGGCCTTGTACCTACAAAGTCAAGAGATTCTTTGTGTTATAGCTTGCACTATTCACAGCGTCTCGAGCACTCACGATATCCGCGATGGTGCAGCCAAACTCGTTGGGCGAGAGGGAGAGGCCGAGCTCCTTGCCCGCCTTCTTCATGAGCTCCACGTTGAACTTATCCAGCTCGGGCGGATCGGCGCGAAAGACGGTGAAATTGACGGTTCTCTCGTACGTCACGTGGAACAGCTGGTGCACCTTCAGCGTGGTCATGTTCGCAACGTGTACCGGCTTCCCATTGACGTCGGTGATGTGATCGAAGATCTTGAGACGGTTGTCCGCGGCCAATGCTCCCTCCGGGTAGATGTGTGTGATGACACAGCCAGTCTGCAAAAGAGATTAGCAAGGCTTAGCAAGTGTTGTTGCCACCCCACCCGTGCGTTACCTTGACGTGGTTGTTCTTGCCGCCAGCCACTATGACGCCCAGCGGCTTCTTCTCAACCTTCACCTCAATGAGGATCTTTTTGTTTGGCTTGATCTCGGCTGTCGCGGGCTCCTGCGGCTTCTCCGCCTCCTTTTTGGCCTCTGTAGGAGAACAGAGCAGAAATGTTAATGGTGTCCGGGCTTCCTCTGCACTTGCATACCCTCCTTCTTCTTATCCTCCGCCTCCTTCTCGGCGCGTATGGAGTCCTCGCTCTTGAGTGTCAGAAGGATCATGGTCACAACGCCCTCGGCCCGCTTGATCAGCCCCGTTGCCTGAGACCACGTGGAATTAGTCTGGTTAGAGAAGAGACTGGGGGCCCGGTGCTACTCACTTCATCGTAGTTCGACTCCAAGGTCACGTCTTGGTTGATGGACAGCAGCATGTCGCCAACTTTGACGCCCGCCGCCTCTGCATTGGAACCTTCGCGCAAGTCCGAGATGAAGATGCCGTTGCCCACCTCCACGTGCTTACCGTAGATTACCATGATGCCCAGGAAGCCCTCCTTACGCACCTGAACTGAGCGCGCCTTTGGGTACTGGTCGAAGATGAACTTGGTCTGTGGCGGAGGAGAAACAACAGAGAATTAAAATTAATTTATTTTCCAGAGGACCTATCGCTTGCCTCGTCGGACGACGTCGGGAACTTCTTGATGGGCTTGACACACATGCCCTCGTCGTTGGGCTTGCGTCGTGACGTGATCAATACGAGCTTCTCTCCTTCCACGTTCTTGAATATGGCAGAGGCGTTCAAGTGGCAGCGGTTCTTCAGCACGTTGCCGTTCACCTCGACTATCTCGTCGCCGGCCTTGAAGTCCACGCTGGCGAATGTGCCGTTGGTGTCCACGCCCGCCACGAAGCAGGCCATCTTCTGTCGATCCTTGTGGCCGGCCAGGGCGATTCCCAGCGGCTTGCTGGCCGGACGTTGCACCTCGATGCGGCGCAAATCCTTCATCATGTTGTACCGCTTGTTGATCTTGGCTGTGGGAGGACAGGATTTCTGCACGCGCCGCATTGGTGAAATGGTGGTGAGCAGACTCACCCATCGTGTATCCAAACTCGTCTTCCTGCTCTTTGTCGCGCTCCTTCTCCTGCTTATTCAGCTTGCAGTTGCCTGCAGAGGCACGATCGATCTGTGGGGCAGACAAAAGGATCAAATCCGAGGACTATACTATTGGGGGTAGAACTCGAGACCCACCTCGTACCCCGCCTCCGTGCGGATGCGTCCGGTCATGTCGCGGGTGTCTTCATCGTCCTCGTCCGCATAGTTGCTTGCCGCGTGCTTGTTTCTCATGGAGGCCGTGAAGGTTTGGTTCCGCTTCTGCATCGTGGGCTGCCTGTTCATGCCCATGCCTTGCCCCTGGCCTTGGCCCTGGCCCTGGCCCTGGCCCTGCCCCATGCTCTGGCCCATCCCCATAGTGTTAACGGGGACCTGGTCCTGGTTGAACTTGTTTTTGGCCTGCATGTAGCCATTGCTGCGCGGATCGGTCTTGGCCTGCTCCTCGCTCTTGTCGAACGTCTGTATCTCCAGGTCGATCTTGAAGTCCGCATCCTTGATGAGATCGATGACCGCCTGCTCAGTGGAGTGTCGCACATCCTTGCCATTCAGCGAGAGGATCCGATCGCCCACCTTCAGCCTGCCGCACAGGTGGGCAGGACTATCGGGTACGATGCCTTTGATGAATATCCCAGTGGTCTTCGTGTTGGGTGAGTCCTTCACCTCCCCTCGCACTATGCAGATCCCGAAGGACTTCTTGCCCGTCTTGTCCAGGGTCACCATGTGAATGAGCTCTGAGAAAGGGATAGGAATAGAATAGGTTTTGGAGGATCAATATCTGTTCGGCTTGCGAAGATTTCTATGAGGTTAGCTCCCGCAAGAGCATGCAGACCCCCGTTTCAAGGCCAAGTACTCAGTTTTCACGGAAATAGGGGCAAATTCTATTAGCACTGACCACCAGCGGCGCCTGCCTTGCCCAGGAACTGCACCATCGCGTATGTCTTGGATCGGCTGCTGCTGCTCCAAACACTTCACTCACTGGCCGGACATTAAATCGAGGGAAATAATATGCTAATTTATTTTTATTCGAATTGCTGTCGCTTTACGATTTTTACGATTTTTGAATGTTCCGCGGCGGCAGCGCCCGTTTTGAGCCGATGGAAAAGTGCGCCTAAACTGATTTCACAATTAGTTGGCGGACATTCATGCTAACTGACTTAGTGGCCATTCTATTTTGAGTATGATTTTCGTATCGATTACACTAGTGAGCAGAATTCAGCTTCAGGGGATTGCGGCGCACATTGGCACACAGTGCACTTGAAGCAATATCTTAGATCGAATGTTTGTTTCAGTGTTAATCGCGTGTCTTAGAAACTTGTGGTTTCTTTTGGTTAACCTTTTGCATGCAGCAGAGTGCACTATCGACCTGACAGAGGTGCTTCCTTCCCATTGAGCAACTTTCGCTGCCTGTTATTACACCACCCTATCACCGCCTGACCGGCAGAAACCACGCGTACGCGTACTCCCCCTGAAGATTGTCACAACATGGATATTGGAGGCAGGGCGAGAGTCCTCTGTCTTTACCTTTATTGTCCATAACACCTTATTAATTTCGATTCGGCGATTCGAGCCCGGGCCAGGTCCATGCTGAACATAACAGAAACACTCTGCCAGCGGAAGGGAAGCCTCCTAAGTGTTGCTTACAAATGCCCATCGATTTTAGCGATTTCTTTCGTTGCACTTACAACAGAACAACATATGGCACACACCTAAAGCAGAATAGGAACCTAGAATAGGAACTACCTTAGTGTTTCTATCGAGCAGACGAAGATTCTAAAGTCGAAAACTCAATAGCTGAAGATCTAAGAGTGTTTGGGTGGGAATCCTTTCTCCATTAAGAATAGCTACTTGATATGTTTGAGGTCGCCTTACAACTAGTCCAAGGGTTGAGCAGCAGTCCGTCAAAACCGAAATTCTAGTGCTGATTACGCACGACGCACGATATATGTACATATGTATTGATCCAATCTGTAGAAAAGAGAAGGGAATGTTTGGAAAAGCCTTTGGTAGGGATCGTTCTTTAAGCTGAGCTCTTAAGCCGATTAATGCTTGGATACAGATATATACAATATCTATATTTAAGTGTAAATCCTAATTATGACATGATATGGGGTCGGAAAAGACTTCATCTCTGCGTTCAAATAAATGTGGACAAATGTAAGAATATCCTATACAAAAGTAAAACAAAAACCAAAAAGGAAACCAATGAAATATTTTACTCGTTTCATTACATCGAACTAAATGTGGATTCCTGCGATAGATTCCATTCCCCTCGGACAATGAAAACTGTGGGCAGGGTGAGGGGGAGGGCAGCAGTTGAATAAAAGTTTCTGGACTTCTGTCATTCGAGTGGCAAATGAATTTAATTTGTGTGCGAATCTTAAATTCATAATTAAGATTTGCATTTTAATGCCTTTGCCAGACGAACGAGGAGGAGTGAAGGAGGGGCTACGCAAACATTTCCCCATTTAAGGCGAATAGAAAATTTCTAAGCGAGGAAAAAGGCAAAGCAAAACTAGAGTAAACACATGCTCAAAGAGCGGGCATCAAACGGGTGGAAAATGGAACTGGAAAATGGCCACAGCTCAAATGGGAACTGTGACTGTGGCGGGGGAGGTGGGGTGTGGGAGGGAGGGCAGCAAACGTCAACGACTGCGGAACGATGTTGGAAATTAATTTCATAATAAAAAAGCGTAAGGAAACCCATTTGATAAAACAATTTCCTTTTTGCCTCCCAACAGTCATGTTTTGTTAGTAAAGTAAATTCGAGAGAGAGGCAGCAGGCAGCAGGCCCCGAGAGAGAGAGAGGCGAAAAACGAGAAACAGAGCAGTGAAAATGAGCTTAACTTTCCCCCCCGATGCCTGCTCCTCATAACCGCTTTCCTCTTTGTCAGCAGCGACAGCGACGCTGGCAGGATGTACACATATCCTTCAGGATGCGCTGCTGGACAGCCATTGGTCGCCGCTGTGGCCACGCCCCACGCAATGGCTGCTGCTTTTCGGCAGTCATGGCCTCTCGCTCTAGCCTTCCCTTCCTGCTGCTCCTTCTTAACAGTGTGCTGCTGCGCCGCAGTCGGCGCATTTAGTTAACTGAAGTGATTTTCCGCACAGCGATAGAGAGCGAGGAGAGAGGGAGAGACAGGGACAGGGACGACTCTTATGTAAGTGGCTACACGTGCACGTGTGTGTGTGCGAATCCGTTGTTGACTTGTTCTCGTGTTGTA